TGACATGTTTTCATGTTGTTCGTACCATTGAAGATGTAGGTTATCTAGACAGGACTTTAACCACTGGTCTTTTCTTTACCATTCTGTCTAATTCAGCAAGGGAGATAATTCTAATATACATGTAGTAACAGGGCTTACACCAGTAATTTTGTAACCACTGCCTTCAATGTTATCATTACACAACCATTTTTTTCGTTTTCAATAGCAAGGTCTACACACCTACAGGTTATATCTACAAAAAATATGCCAAAATAGAAGGGAAATCCCACATGCTTAATCAATGTATGAATATTTGATTCGATATCACAATACACACCAGTTTTTCCATAGTTCATATTAGTTGAAACTGTTTTGTATACAGTAATGAGAGAGAGAGAGAGAGAGAGAGAGAGAGAAATTTCAGGACTAACACATGGTTCAATTTTATTGCAATAATTCCCTTGCACGTAGCTAGGGGTCTTTAGCTGTGGGAGGGAACCGGAGGACCCAGAGAAAACCCACGAGGTTGGACAGGCGACCCTACTCCTTGTCACGTACAACCAGGGAATCGAAACCACGCCAGATGACTCAATGACAGACCTTATGATACAGCATACACATGCTAACGATTCGGCCATCCAACCCCCCATACAGTAATGAAACAGGACCCAAATGCCTCAATGATGGACACGATCGATCCTGACATTTAAACTTAACAAAATTGCCGATCGGTGGTGAGCATACCGCCTAGAAAGCTTGCAACTGTTGTGCTTGGCTCATAGGCTGCTTTACTCGCATTGGGTGTATGTGCATCAGTCGATCTCAATTTTCCTATAAAAAAAACAAAATTGATATGTACATCCCTGGGCGATGTGTACAAATCATCACAACAGCCAAAAGTCGATCAAGCATATGGTTATATCTCCTCAGTAACCAGAAAACCTGGATTATACATTCCGAAAAAGGAGGGGAAGTGGATTCAGCGATATATGGAAATTGAGCCATGTTATGTTCGGGTGGAATAGAAACGAATAATTCGCAGCGGTTGATATTTGATCACAAGTGCACTAATACCTGACAATAATATTAATAGTTTATATTTTCGATGAGTATGTCAGATAGTAACCTATTTCCACAATTGTTATTCAAAATAAAAAGCAATTAACTAGGAGCTAGGGGCATAATTAATTTCAATACAACTGTTTATGAATATGGTGTGATATTACAAAGAGTTTTTTAAGTAATCAACTTTATTCAACATTCATATAGTAAGACAATGATCATATCAAAATAGGTAGAAATATATCTTTACAATTAATATAAAAATAACTAGTATTTACATATATATCATTTTACTTTTACATAAAGACTCTTATTATATTGTCATGGAAACAAATGAGAGGTTTATAATATAACATACACTTTATGTGAAGTAACAAATTTGAATGATATAATATGATAATTAATATCATTGCATTTTTGTACAATATATCTATCGGTATATTAGTAGTAATTTCAAATGCATAGATTAATACAATTTCAAAATGCCTTGAAATACACAGGACACAATTCCATGTAATACAGTAGTTGTATTTTATTGAATTTTGTCCAGTGCAAGGACCCATGAACACAATATTAGATTTAAAGGCTGTCTGGATAAACTGACATTTAACAACCAAACTTATTAAAATGTATGGCAGTTATGTCCATTGAACAAGCTGTATTCTGGATAAACAGACTATCACTGACTGTGGTGGGGGTCATATTTATTGCTTTTGAATTAAAGTTGAGCAATATAAGTATAGAATTTTGCTATTTGTACTAGAAATTGAAATGAAACTGAAGAAAAAACAAAGAAAAAATTCCCAAAACAATGATAACAAAAACAAAATTAAACAATAACAGAACAATATCAAAAAAATGAACAATACGGAGAGATAACTAAACAAGCCAACAGTGAGGCTAGTATACCCCCACTTTAATACCAAAATAAATAGATGACACTTATTAATTACTTTGCATATTTATCTTTTTATAAAGTATCAAGCAATCAAATTGCTTATCACTTGGTTAAGATTATCAAACTCTACCAGATTTCTCTAACAAACATTTAGCAGAATCATTGTATTCCAAACAGTACAACAGACAGACAGACAGACAGACAGACAGACAAATCTATTTAACAATCCCCTATTAATCCTTATAAGACATACAGAAGTAGATTTGGCAAATTAAACACTTATATGGATATGCTACTTCTGAATTTAGTAACATGCTATGTTTCGATACCCCATTTGCTTGATAACGATATCTGTATATGTATCGAAAAATAGCATGTTAATAAATTCAGAAGTAGTATATCAATATAAGTGTTTTTAATTAGGACCATATTAATTAAATTAGGAAAAACTAATACATAAATAGGTACAAACTTAATATTATAAATACATGTATAACAATTAAATACAACTGAAACAGAAATTTGTTTTGGTTTCATACTTACAAAAATCATTAAAACTTTACATAAAACATAACTCATTGGATGATTATTCTATTTCTATACTATTTTTAATCACAATATTTTGTGCAGTTAATCGTGACCTCTCTTCACCGGATGGGGCAAAAAGATTATATTAAATTGTCATTTGACTCATAACAACTGAGGTATTGAGAAACAACTAAACTCATCAGGATAAATATATATTTAGCGTCTGGATGCTGTAACAGTAAATTCTTTACTCATTCCAGTAAAAGGTGTAATAGTACCAGTAATACTTTTATGATCTCCAAAATATTGTATTCTGTAAGTTCCTGATTGTTGATTAACAGGAATATCCCAAATTATCGTCACTTCACTTTCTCCCAAAAAGAACACACCAGATGATTGCCAGTGAAATCTGAAATTACATTCAATATTTTGTTTTACTGGATAACATACTTGAATCAGATCAAATGAAACTAGTTTAACAGAGCTGATGAAGATGGGTATTATGTCATACAGTGTGCTATAAGGGAAATTTTGCCCAGACAGTGGTACAATAGATTAGGGTTCTTTAATGTTTTGTTCTTCATATTGTGTATTATTTACATTGTATCTTATGGATTTTTTGGGTGACAAAATGAAAGAAAGGTGTCAGACCAGATTTACAGCCCTTATAAAACATAGAAAATATTAGTATTTTGATTGTCAATAGCAATGTAATTCTATCATTCCACTATGTCACCAGCACAACTTAATTCATTCATGAAAAATACCAGATTAAAACATTTAATGTAGGTCCATTGTGGAGATAACTTACTTGGTCTCCCATGTACTGTCTGTAACAACTATTGTCCATGTACCATTAGCTTCTTTCCTTTCAATTGTTAAAAACGTTTTTCCTAGCTAGAAAATAAAACAAGAGCGACATCCTTTTTTATCGTACTAAAACTAAATATTGTTTTCATTTCTATTATTGACATTGGTTGCTCCTTTATAACTGGTTTAAGAAAAGAGCATTCTAAGCCAGTGTGACCACAGCAGAACCCAGACCTATAACTTTGGTCAGACAACTAATCAAATGCCTGGTAATAGAAACCATTTCCAAAGATCTCACCAAATTTTTCTTTATCATGGGCTTTTGATTGGTAGATTGTTCTGGAGTCGACCAATTGCATCCTGCGCATTATTGAACATGTCAAGTTCAGAAATTCATGATATGAAATGAAAAATGCTGTTTAATGTCATACTTTTCTTGACTGACAACTTATGCAGACAGGTGAATGTCATACAGTGTGCTATGAGGGAAATATTAGCCTATACTCTTTTTATCGAAATACACTTGCCAATATGTAGACAGGACCTCTGTTTTTTATCCCTTCCAAACGACTTCATGATTAACTTTTTCGTGACACGGGAATCGAACCCCAGACCTCCAAGCTAGCTAGCCAACGTCTTACTCACTGAGCTACCGCAGCTCCCAAAAAATCTTAAAACAAATAGTGTAAATACCTTTATATCATTTCTAGGATTAGCACCAACAAATTTAACTGTGACTGTCGTATTGGTTTTATAGGAAGTCTCAGCATCTTGAATGACATCTCCATAATTCCTACTACCAGAAGTATCATATATAACAGGTGGAAGGAATGATAGTTGTTTACTTACTAAATTAGGTGGATTAGGACCAGGAGGACTAGCTGTACCCTGTAATCGAGAGAAATTAGTATTAACATCCACTCAACACAAACTAGGTCATTTTGGGACTAACACATGATTAATTTTACTTCATAATTTGCCTGCTTGTAGGAGGTTTAGCAGTGGGAGGAAACCGGAGGACCAGGAGAAAACCCATGAGGTTTGGCAGGCGACCCTACCCCTTGTTATGTACAAGTGTGGGATCAAAACCATGCCAGTTACCTCAATGACAGACCTTATGAATAATTATGATATAAAGTGGACATGTTAGACCGTTTGGCCCCACCCCATCCTGTTATATTTATGTTATTTTATGGAATAACTTGAACAATTTCAACATCTATTTCCTATATTCCTGGGCTACATATATTGTCATACACATATACATTTTCTTTTCCTTAATCTTACCAACTTTAAAATGAATTGTCAAGAAAGGAAAGATATACTTGATGGGTTAGTTTGTTATTTTATTATAATCATGTATACAATCCAAGAAAGAATTTTGCTAGGAAAGTAGCATTTTGGCTAGAACTCTAATTGTCAAAGGCTCTTAACAAGAGAAATTCTTGTGCTAGGCACTTTATTGAGAGGGACATCAATACATGTAATAGTTAAACATTACTAATTATTGGATAACATGTACTAATTCAACTGCTTTAAAATTCGTAGATTTACAAGTGGCAAGTAAACCCGTCAACCCTGTCCTTTCCACAGAACAGAGCAACTAACAGTTAATGACACAATTTAGTAAAATTTATATACCGAGGTTAAATCTGTAGCTAACTTTGTAAATTCTTGAATATAGGCTTGTAATGTATACGGACCGTAAATTGTGGATGCAGCTTCATATCTCTGTTTCTAAAATACATTAACAGAGAACATTTACACAAAATTTTAAACATTCAATAGAAATATTTCAAATGGATGCAGACCACCACTAAATTTCACCATCTTGGTACCCACAATTTGTTGTTCGTCTATTTATAACAATTCTCTCTGTCTCTTTTCTCCCCTTTTGCATAGCCATTTCTGTTGATTTTGTGGTCTAGAATGGATGAAGAGGGCTTGAATTAACATTTTCTGCCAAATTTACATAAATATTCATGATTTAGAGGCCGACGGATGACAGGGTTATCAGATGGGTTACGGTAATATGTACGGCAAATAAGTTACATGTTTTTAGTATGCTTCTTCAAGTTTGTGTATGATTTTTTGTTTCTCTGCCCAACGAAAATTTAGGGAAAAGATGGAGCTGGGCAAAGAGGCCAGAATTAACATTGACGTCAATGGGGAAATTAATGGTGGTATGCCACCAAATTGTAAATATGAGTTGCCTCCCCTTTAGTCTTCATAATACAGAGGTTCATGTTTCAATTTTATAAGGTTCTATGTTACAGTAGCTTCAATAATGTGAAACTTTCAATCAAACTGAAAACCTACCTAATAAGTAGATAAGATGTAATTAAACCTGTCAGTTGATATTCAAATAAATTCACAAATAAAATATAGCTGATGTATTTACCTGATATTCTTCAAAGGTAGCAACATAATCAGCATAATCATTGGATAGACCAGCAATAACAGATATAGTATCTTCAGGTAAACCACCTGCTTTCAGAGCCTGTAATAAACATGATACAAAGAAAATCTCAATATAAATCCTTCTAGAAACAAATTAATGCTATTTTAATCGTAAAATACTAAAATCACAAACACTCGATATATTATTACGCAATAATAAAATATCCTAATATGCAATCAAATCTATATTTTTTTTAAATATAGCTTACTTACTGATTCTACAGCACCTCTCATTCTTCGACCAGACATGGTCCTGTAAAAAATTAAAATTTAAAACTTTAATATTGTAGAGGGGAATAAAATTTACTAATTAAATAACAATGAAAAAACCTCTCATATATCTAAATGCCTTTAACTTGATGTAAATAATCGATTAATTTTGTAAATAGATAAAATATACATAAAATATTTAAACTCTTCAATCTTCAATTGAAATAATACGTACGTGAACTCGGCAGGTACAGCAATTATAGCTAACTGACCTATTCTAAATATCTGTGTATCTACTATAGTTGGTTGCCATAAATATGGTCTTGTTATCTAGAAAACAAATAAAGCCTATACATCATTCCACAATAAATAATACTAATAACAAATTAGTTCACCCTCTATAGCACTTAGACTGCCCCAAACACCCCATCAAGTGCACCTCTGTGGCACACATATAATAGGGAAAGTTATTCACATATCTCGGGCAGTTGGATGTGGTCAAAGTAACATCAGTTTCAGATTAATTTGGTCTGTCCAGGGATGTAGGCCTACCAGTATCAATATATCACTTTTTATTTTCTACAAGGAACTGGAGTAGTCAATATATACATGTACCAAGAGCTAAAGGGTTAAATTATAAATAAATCTCTAGTAATTACAGGCCTTTACTGCTGTATTCTACAATCAATCAGATAATTTAAGAGGGCCAGCTAAAATTACACTAATCACCCATCACCATTGCAATGTAAACATAAAACAAATATTTATGCTTTTGTTCAATTAATACCAATTCAGATAATTTCTCAAATTTTTTAATGAAGTCAGTACTTGAGATTTTGTACTTGGTGAATCATACTGAGCAAGAAAGCCCTAAATGACTGTATGTTGAACCTACCTCTCCAGTATCTAATAGAATTGGTTTAGGATCATGACAAGCTACTTGTTCAGAAGATGGTGTGTGCAAAAAATCTCTTATAAAATCCCAAAATAAATTAGTTTTATTCGATCCTGAAACGTATGAAAACATTTGTTCTACGAACACTTGTTCAAAGTTCTTTGTCCTCAAAAATGAAAATATAATAACCAATAGACTCTTTTATCAAGGAACTACTTTAAAAATAATGTATATGCATCCAATAGTACTGTATATGCTGTATTTTGATTATTTTTTTCTGTTTTTTATAGTGCAATTATTCTGCATTGTCTATATAAATGAACTGAAATGGGGTTTAACATCATCCTGTTCTGCACAGACAGAGCTGATGATGATGAGCATATACCTTTCAGGGTGTTATAAGGGACATTTTGCTACAGAGGCATTACAACCTACTCTTATATGTATTTTGAAATCCCCTTGGCAAGTGGGAACTAGGCTTAGAAAATATCTAGGTGCTTTGCAGCCCACGATGTAAGTCCAGTACCTAACCCGTTTAACTAGCACAACCCCTCACATTAGGGCAGTAATGAACACACTATAAAATTATCTACCTTGTTTAAAGTTAAATGCACCAGGGCCATCAGTTGTACCAGCAGCAAATGCAAAACCCATGGCAGGTTTACATGTCTTTACCTAAAAAGAGAAAGAGAAATGGGATTTAATGTCCACTCAACACAAACTAGGTTATTTTGGGACTAACATATGTTTCAATTTTATTTAGATAATTTGCTTGCGTGTAGGGTTCTTTAAGAGAAAACCATGAGGTTGGACAGGCGACCCTACTCCTTGTCACATACAAACGGTAAATTGAAACCATGTCATTTGGCTCAATGACAGATAGAACATCCTACGTTTCTGCACATATCGAGCTAGTAAAGACAGGCATGTATAATATGAGGGAAGTTTTGTATTAGTTTTGCTAATGGGCAGGAAAACATATGTATTTATCCAATAATACATGGCACAGAAATTACCAAAAACAAATGGGAATTTCAACAATAATTTTTTAAAATACAAGTATTTATACTCACTGTTGTTGTAGAATTTACTCTAATTTGGACGTTTGTCATATCAACATAGGTATGTCTAAAATCTACTGGTCCACTTATCTTTACTGTAGCAGAATTATACAATTCCTATAAAAATCAGTATGCCTTAAATATTTCTCTATCCCCATAAAAAACCCAAAAAGACTTGACATCAGAAAGCCTTATATATTTCTCTATTCAAATATGTAAAAAATCCAATTGTGGGGAATTATTTTAGCACATTATAAAAAACAAAAATTTATTTTGAGCACCCAAAAACTTATAATGTTAGCAGTGCTATGATAACTTCTGATCATCTGTGAAAAGAAATGAAATGAAAGAGTTTTAACGTCATGCAGTGTATTATGAGAGAAATGCTACCAGGACAGTGACGCCACGACCTACTCTAATGTTGATTACCAAATGTTCTATGTGAATAGAAAAACTATTTCAGAATGTGGAGTAACATACCAGAGCTTTGTTATATTGATTTTGAGCTATAATTCTGGTACTATCAAACATATCTTTACCAGGCCCTGATGCTATACATAGTTCATTCTGTAAAATAAATACATTTAAATCAGGATAAACAGATGCATACCTTACTACTTGAACTACTTACAGCTAAATAAATTAGTAGTCTTAGCCTAAAACTCCAAGTTAAACAAAATCTAAAAAACAAAAAAAATTTATCAACAAAACTAAATACATCGCCAGCACCAGCCCCTTCCACCGGCTCAAAATTGGGTTATCTACCATATTTTGCATTTAGTACTATATTTTCTATCTATTTTACTTAGGCAATGCACATTCACCTAAAGATTATGTTTCAATCTTTTACCAACATTACTACTCACAAAACAATCATATTTATATATCAGATAATAATATTTACCTTGCCATTACAGGTACTTGTTGGGGTGTCACATGGTTTACCACTATCTATACATTTTGGACCTTTTGTATTCGGGGATACATCGCCTTCATTACTCTGAGCAAATGCTGCAACAAATGGACCCTGTCAAAGATCAGAATAGAAATTAGGGGCGTAAACAAACATTAATGATCACAGACATAAACTGAACTGTAATTGTAAAATCTGACGGTTCATCTGGCTAGATATGGAATACAATTCAGGAAAAGTCAATACACAAAAGTTTCAAATATATAACAAAGAGTGAGAAGAGATGGGGTTTAATGTCCATTCAACGCAAGCTACGTCATTTCAAATGGTACAATTTTATTTCAATAATTCGCTTGCATGTGAGGGTCTTCAGCAGAGGGAGAAAACACACGAGGTTAGGCAGGCCATCTTACTTTTTGTCACACCACTTGACTTAATGACAAGAACTTATAATCTAAAGAGCAAATGTAGTACCATTCGGAACTAATTTTATAATAATAATTCTTATAATATATAGCTTACCTCGCCCATAAGAGCTCCATTATTCATTTTCAGTTCAAACAACTGAGCTGCATAGCCTTTATTATCACTACTGATATAACCATTAGTATTATTCATACTTGTACAATGTACAGGAAACCAACTGAAATTATTAGGGAACAAACATACAGAAATCCTCAGTAACGCTTTATAATTTTGTTTAAATAGGAAGTATTGAAAATATGATAGATCCCAAATTTTTGGATATTTATTTGCTAATATTCCAATTACAGTCAAACATTTTAAGGAATGTTTTAACTCAGTCTTTAAAAGAGAGTGAGAAATATGAGGTATAATGTTCACTCTGCACAATAGGACTAACATATGGTTCAATTGTATTTCCATAATTTGCTTGCACTTAGTGGTATTTGGCATTAGAAGACAGGTGGGACCGTGGGATAAAAACAACACCTCTAGACCAAACGACAGACTTTATGGTCTAAAGTGCATCTGTTAGACCATTTTGGCCACAAACCCTGCTTTGTCTTTAAAAGAAAACAACAGTTTAACTAATGGTCCAGTTGAAGAAATTTTGAATTTGCATGTATATTAAAATATAGTTTTACCTGAGCATACCAATGCCTTTATTATTTGCATCAACAAATCTTAATACAGTCATATTTTTATCTACGTCATAGTTGTACCTGTAAAAGAATATATAATTATACAAAATAAATTGTAGGTACAGGATAACGATTCACACTGCAGTTACCCATCTCAAGAGAAATGTGCGTAGCAAGCAGTAATGGAAGTCTGTGACTTTTTATTGTGTCATACTCTTGTTTTTGATCTCTTTTTGATGGGAATCCAAAAGGCTATAAGACATATCCCTCAAGTTTGGAAATAAGGTACCGGTCACAGACAATGTCAGACACAATCCTATAGTGCCTGTTATTGTGTCCTGTATAGACTTGTCCTTTATCAATGTTTTTAATGATATTTATAATATACGTCTGGCATACAGTTCAAAATGCCAAGTACTAGTTCAGTAAAATCTCGGCTTCCAGAGAAAAGTTTACCGTTTGTTTCTCTTTGCGAAATCTCAATGGACATTAATCAGTTTGAATTCGGTTCCTAAGCTCCTCTTCCAGTGGCTCCTGATTGGCTGGATTTGTTTGAATGAAATGCTACCGATTTCTCGACAATTAGGCATCGGTTCGTTGCATGGGTTACATATAATGACCGTTGGAACATTTTCCACATCTTGAAATCAAAAATTCATTCGAAAACAGCCAATTTTATGATTTACCGGAAACTATTTTTAAGGTGCAGTGTGTGTGAGTGATTCGACTAAATATGTGAAATGGTTGATGAAACGCGAAGTGACCCGCGAAAGGATACATCATGTGACATTCAAAATGGTTGATGTATGGCCAGCGAGATTTCCCTGAGAGAAATTAACAGTAAACTTCTTTTTTGGGAGCTAAGATTGAGTTAAGTACATCTACAATGTATATTTCCATGCCTGATATCCTTATAACAATCATTTTTCTACTGGCTTAAGCTGCAAATCATTTCACTATATATATTAGCGTATGGTAGTAGCTACACTAAATATTATAGTATTTTGTTACTATATCTGCAATGTTCCAAAGTTTTAGGCAAACTAGGATAGGATGACAAGGGGGTATCAATTGAGAGAATTAGCATATGGCACAATCTTCTTTCAATAATTTGCCAGTGTGTATGGTTCTTTGGCAGAGGGAGGAAACCAGAGGACCCAGAAAAAACTCATGAGGTTGGGCAGACAAACCTATTCCTTGTCCCATACAGGCTTGGAATCAACATCATGATACTTGTGATATCTTAACCGATAATTAGATCTAGTCCTCAATCAGGTGTAAATGCAGTGTTTCTGACTATCTATCAATGTAGCATTATAGAATAAACTTATACTTACTTTTTTCTTTCTGCTGCAGGGTTGTTTAAATAAGATGTTGGACTACGATTGATGTTACTGTCTAATAGTTCTCCATTGTTAGTATAAATATTACCAGGTTGAATAGATTCGTGAGCTTTTCTTATACTCTATACAAAATATCAACAAATTCAAACATTTAAAGATGTATTATGTAAGAGCTAAATCTGAATATCACAGATAGGTCTTTTTTCTGATCAGCGGATGGCTTAGATACCAAGTGAATTAGTAGACAATGCCCGCCATATCTTCAGTAAACAATAATATGGATGACATTCACAGGAACTTTCTCTGCCAACACCTAGATCGAATCCCGGATCTCTGCGTTAGTAAGTCAGCTCCTTATTTTGAGCCACCATGGCTACAAAGTAAAATAAAACAAAACAAGTCAACAGTGAGGCTGATATTCCCTGTCGAAATCCCAAAATAAACAGATGACAAATGTTTATTAATTTTACATTTATCTTCTTCAAAAGTATTGAGTAATCAAACTAATTATCTATGTTTAGTCTAAGCATAAAATGTTTACGATCAAACTCAGTCAGCTTTTTTAGTGCCTGGTAGTGAAACTATACGTTAAGTTTTATTACTCTCCATCAGTTAGAGGGGGGTTGGATGGCTGAATGGTTAGCGTGCGCACTCTGTATCATAAAGTCTGTCATTGAGTCGACTGGCGTGGTTTCGAATCCCCGGTTGTACGTGACAAGGAGTAGGGTCGCCTGTCCAACCTCGTGGGTTTTCTCCGGGTCCTCCCACTGCTAAAGACCCCTACGCGCAAGCGAATTATGTAAATAAAATTAAACCATATGTTAGTCCTGAAATTACCTAATTTGTGTCGAGTGGACGTTAAACCCCATTTCTCTCTCTCTCTCTCCATCAGTTAGAATCAAAGTTATCTTGTCCCAAAGCATCGACCAATGAAATTTCTTAGCTCTGCTTAGCTTTAACGGGAAATAAATTAATCGTTGAACTCAGTCAAGAGCATCTATACTTCAATTAAAAGCAGAGTTGTTATGTTCCAAAATCTTGACCAATCAAATTGCTTATCACAACTTAGCCTAAGCAGAAAATTCTCATCATCAAACTTAGTCAATGTACTGAAAATGCTCAGCATCGAACTTTGTTACGGTATTAATCTAATGAAATTATACACAAAGTTTCACCAATCTCACTCAATTAGAATCAAAGTTGCAGAGCTCCAAAGTCTTTAACATTCTAGCTTAATTGGAAGGAAAGTTATTGTGTCCCATAGAGTGTGACGGATGGACAGACAGACCCATTTTAATAGTCCCCTGCTTTCTTTGAACATTGGAGACAAAAAAAAGCATACCTCTGTTATTCCAGCTACAAGTGGTTCAAATGATTCTTTAACAAAGCCTAAAGATGTTATATCATAGAGCAGGTATTGATGAAATCCACCGGGTCCTGAATGTGTATGTATACCACTAATACACACATTTCTTTCATTATATAAATTACCATATAATGCCTCTAACCTTTTAATAACCTGTGAAAACAACAAAAACAATCAAACAGTTTATCAAACCTTTAATCTTATTTTGTATATAGTGCAGCATGTCTTTAATGACATGAAATGAAATGGGGTTTCACATTTATGGTGTATTCCATGGATTCTAATGCAGTTAAATTTAAGTGTTTATTACACATGATACAAACCTGCAATACAATTTATATTAAATGATTCTGTACTAGGCCCCTACTGCAGCAGAATGACAATATATATTATACAAATCAGTATAAAGTGTATGCAGGATTTCTGCAAAGAGGCAAGGGGCAAAATTTTTTAAAATAAGGCCAATTCAAATTTACATGTACCTTAAAGAGGGGTATGGAGGTAAATATGATGATGAGGACTCTGAAAGGGAAGGAGTGCACCACAATTTTAACATTAAATAAAGGTATGGATGGAGGGATAAGGGTTGTATGTAGGGATAAGGGTTGTTAGCCCAAAGAAATGTGAATGGTGGATTTTGTCTCATACTGCCCTACCCTGCACTGATAGAAATTAGTATAACTAATGATGTAAACAAAGTGAAGGTGTGTCTTTCATTTTAAATTTGAGCTTTTTTTTAAACATAGGTTGCTGAAAATGCCTGAAGAAATGTCAGAAGTAATAGTTAATGACTCTATGCATGATTTAGCGGTTCATTTACATTACATATTTACAAAGATATGATGAATTGAAAGTCCCATTGATCTATCTAGTTTTGGTATTTCGATTTTGTTTTCTTACTTAAAATTTAAATAATCAATCAGAGTACATATTAATGTGGATTAAGCTGTGAGAAATTTTTTATTCTTTCAAAAATATGCAAATCATGCATTGTTACTTTAAAGGGCCAATCCCGATAATATTTTGGAGAATAAAACTGCTTAAGTTTGTGTTAAAATCCCTTAAAATCCTCTACCTTAGGGCCAAGCAACTAACTTAATATATGTGATACGTTTTCAAACAACTTAAACCTGTCTGGAAATGGAGACTGGTGTCCCAAGCTGTACTATGCGGTGTCTGAATAAAACAAGACCTTTATTTTATAAAAATAATGTGTCGTTGACATTTACCTTTCATTATCATGTATAGCACATGGGTCATTCACTGTATAAACCTCAAAAGGAACGGGAATCGATTATCAGGTCACCCAACGAAAAAATTGACCCGAACTCTTAAAAGGGTTACGTGTGATAAGCAGTTGTGACGTTCACGTCCAAACGACTCAATATTTTGCGCTGAAATTTTGTGACGGGTAAATACACCATTCCTCTATATTTTGGCCTTTTAATTCTATATGTACTCGGGCTTATATTTTTTAGACTCTGTTCAAATCGGGATAGTCCCTTTAAATAAGCCAATTAAATCATAAAATAGTCATTGAGTCAACTTAAGTGACATCTGTAAGGTTTGATGATGTAACGGTAAAGTTAGATAAAATATTGGCCTACATAACTAATCTAAAATAAATAGTATTGTTTTTACAATTGACATAAACCTACCTCTAATTTAACACCTTGAGATAACATACAAGCATCAACATTGACAAATACTACTCTAGTTTTATTTCCATTATCTCCAACTATAAATGTTCGACTATACTGGCGAATATGGATACCATGAGACGTCTGAGAAGGATTTGCATACCCCATCTAAAACAAAAAAGGTTTAGCAATTAGATCATCTATCTCTCTCTTGGCTTGAGCTTCAGTAGATCAAACGTCAAAAATTCAACTGAAAATGAATACATTTATCTATACTTATATTTGTGACTGTCATTTGTTTATCTGTCTATCCATCGGCCGCTACACTATAAGGCCCCCCCCCCCCCCCGAGGCTGAAATTTAGTGCATAGGGGTAGCTCGGACCGGGGAGTAACATAGGCCTAGTGGCACTGGCCTACCGCTTCCATTTTCGTACAACCTGTGCATCATTCACTAGTTATCATTACTAATATTATTACACACGTCTACAGCACACAAATGCAACATAAATGTGCTTGTGTGCACTATACAAAGGCAGAGCAAGATACTATTGCATTATAATAAAATGGAGTAATAAAGAGCATATTGAGATAAAATTGTATCTGATTAAAATAACTCTGGATAATCTACCTATACCTATTCAAAGAATCATTAGGTAAAAATTCAACTGAAAATGAATACATTTATCTATACTTATATTTGTGACTGTCATTTGTTTATCTGTCTATCCATCGGCCGCTACACTATAAGGCCCCCCCCCCCCCCGAGGCTGAAATTTAGTGCATAGGGGTAGCTCGGACCGGGGAGTAACATAGGCCTAGTGGCACTGGCCTACCGCTTCCAGTTTCGTACAACCTGTGCATCATTCACTAGTTATCATTACTAATATTATTACACACGTCTACAGCACACAAATGCAACATAAATGTGCTTGTGTGCACTATACAAAGGCAGAGCAAGATACTATTGCATTATAATAAAATGGAGTAATAAAGAGCATATTGAGATAAAATTGTATCTGATTAAAATAACTCTGGATAATCTACCTATACCTATTCAAAGAATCATTAGGTAAAATGATAAGTCTTTAGTTAGTTTTAAAGGTAGCAATTGAAGTGACATTACATATTTGAATTTGTTTCAATCGCAACAGTACAACTTCAATTATTTAATGATAAATGAAAAAGACACATTATAATCAATTGGTAGGTCTGTAGGATTATTATGGAATAATAAATGTTTATTAGAAACAATTGTATTCTACATGTATTTAATTATAATAATCTGGCAATAAAAAAGCATGAGTATCAAAAACTATGACAGATTTATAGCAAATTCTAAATAGAACCTAAAAAACAATGTCATTTTAACTAACTATACCAGTACTGACTTGATATAAAATATTGTTATACCATAGCCTGCTTAATTGTCATTATTTCATTTCACATGTGGACTGTCAGACCGTAATGAGTACACATTATAACTGGTTAGTTTGTATAATGGAATGTATATACATTTAACACTTTGCACACTTGTAATCAGGGGCGTATATATTGATTTTGTTTGGGGGGAAGGGTGTTTAGCAAAAATAAAATAGACTGATCCACAGGCTCCTAATACAAGTGACGCAGCCACAAGCCGAGCAATGCAGGCATGAGCTTCCTGGTTAGGGGGGTGGGGGGGCTTGCTGTACAGTTCCGGGCCTGTAGTGATACAGACTTCACTCAAAACTCAAACAACCAGGAATATAACCCAGAGAAAACTATTGTGTAATACCAGCACGAGTCATGATCTGCTATATGTCACATGAAATATGAATTTAACCATATTGAAGTAAAAATTACCTATACAAGTAACCATATTGATGAAATGTATAAAAAAAACAGGTAGTCTAAAACTAATTAATGTTCTATGTTAAGTGAGACACATTTTAAGTATTCAAAAGAATTGAGGTATATTGACTATAAAGTTAGGGCATATGTTCCATTTACTACAAAAAGGATTTTCCCTTCTATTTTGGCATGGCTTGTTTACCTCTTTTATTCATCTAGTTGCTGGTGCATAATTTTGAGACCGACTGCACTTATTGGTGCATGTCGTGATATCCAATCATAGCAATCATATTCATATATTACATATGAAGTATTTGAGATTTTTCCCTTTATTTTGGCATTGTTTGTTTACCTCAGTTATTTAATTAGGCCCGATTCATAATTTTGAGACCGACTGCACTTATCTTTAGAACAACTATTTTTTTTCAGGGGGGGGGGGGGGGCATGGTTTTAATAAATATTTGGTGAATGCGAAGTTGACTGTTTTTTATTATCAAAATTGTTTACTTGCGTACTATATATAGGGCTACGTGGTGTTGATTGAATATATATCAAAATAATACCGGTACATAGATAAGAAAAATGTTTTGGTTTTTTTTTGGTTCAAGCAGATACCTTTTGCTTTTGTAAAGTGAAATTAAAGGGCTACAATTGAACCCAAATCAACTACATCAGGATTTATCCCAAAGTTTTAATTGTTCAGCGACAGTAAATTGAAATGCAACTTTTGACATGCATGAAAAGTTATATTTCTCACCATGTTGACTTCGGCTGCTGGGCCCGTTATATCAGATATCCCAACCCCAATTAAATAATTGGTTGACTGTCCATAACTAATATGCAATAAAGCAAGAATTATACAAATGTACGAGCACTGATACAACCCTTTTCCTGGGGTCGCCATTTTGCCTTTTCTAAATATCACATGACTTTCATGAAACATGTGATAGCGAATTAAGCTAGTCCATTGCTTTGTCGGAAAACGTTTTCATTGTTTTTCTTTCTTTTCATTGAGAAACTGCTGGAGAAATTATATTTGATCTTGTAAAACCTGTACAAATATGTACTGAAAGTAAAAGGCTGATATTTTCCGATTTTTCAAATTAACGGGATAGTAAATGTTTTAACAGTTATGTACACCTGTCCTCCCTAAGTACAAAATGAGACATTCCATTACCCCACTATACTCTGCTGCTTGTGAAATTTGAGATGTGAACCCATTTTTATTTCTCATTATTTACTAACTATGCCATTGAGTGTGCTACAAGAGGCACGTAGACATTTTGCAACGTGTTAGAATTGTCAGGAACTTTCCAACATTGGTAATCTCAAGAATAGAGAAGTCTCCGGTCTAGAAGTAGACAGCAAAACAGCGGTTTTTGGAACGTGCTTGGCAAACAAAACGGTCCGTTCAAGAAACACTGGAAAAGTTTGACATCTTTGCCAGAAGTCTGATTTTGACATTGAGAGTCTTGTAATGCTGGTCGGTATGAAGATTTTGGTAGTTCTACTTGCCTGCGTGGCAAACATGGTTGAATGTGAAATGTTTACATCTATGGCCCATCTCCAAACAGCTTTGTATGCAGAAAGAGATATTGCTTCGACATTAAGGCAATATATTGACATGGAAGAAAAGAGATTGGAGAAATTAAAAAGGTATCAAATTTTAATTTAAATCAAACTTCTATCTGAAGCATATTGTTCTATCAAATTTTTGCATCTGATGTAATAGAATGAATAGTCAATGACTGTAAAGTAAATAAAATTAAAAGTTTTGTCAGAATTAGAAAAGAAAAGCAGTAGTCTAAAAGTATTGAAATTTCAGTTTGTATTGGAATGATAAGATCTATCATGAGTGGCATACTTTCCATAAATTTCATTGATCACACCATCACAAAATGGTGAGATTCTCCTATAAACCCTCTGATATAATCCTCCTGCATAAATACACTTTTTGAAACTTTGTGTATTTTTAAGTGACATTTGTATATTAGAGATTGTTTTGACCATGGGTTATTAGTATATTCACTGTGAATTACTTAGAAATACACAATATGATTTGTTTTGTATATTAGAGATTGTATTGTATTAAGGCTGCAAGAGCATATCTATATTAACTGGGGATTATACAATACATGTACAGTATCATCTGTTTTGTATATATTAGACACTGTATCAAACATTGTGTATAAGGTTTTGTTAGTATGTTTAAAATTGGACTATAGGAGCTTACTCACAGAGACTTATAGACCATTATACATGTATTTGTTTTTGAGTGAAAATACCCTCATACCATTATCTTGTATTGCTTAAAATGGAACTAACAACTATTTCCATTTAGATGAAAGGTTTACCGACCAATATCAGAAGTTGATATTTATGAAACTATATTTTTTTTTTCTAAATTTTAGAAGTGTCAATCAGTGGTTATAATTATCAGATATCAATATCGTCTTAAATTCTTTCACAGAACCGCAGGTCACCACTGTAATTCACTCTAATATATACTCTTAACTCTTATGCTCGTTTCCTTGCATTTTACAACCAAACAGATGTTATCTATGTTTGCAGGACAATTAACACAAAAGATAAAAATGGTTTATCCTATTTTCATTTAATGGTTGATATATCAACTTCTATGGAGGTGCATGCTGTCGTACTGTACACTATATAAATACAATACTACATATTGGTGGATCTAAATATAATTCCAGCCAGTAATACTATAAAGTATATGCAAATACGATTGTTTGCCATCAAACATGCATGCATTTTGCCTATAGTTACATGTACTAGAAACTTTCCCACATTTAGACAATTAGAATTTACATAAATAAAAGAATTTAGAGTTTAATCAAATCACTAGGAACATAAGGGTAATTTATCTGATGAAAATGATAGTAAGCAGGTTGATGATTGAACTATATATCTGTCGGCAATATTCCACGTCTAATGATCACAATAATTGATGATTCTTACTTCTACTTATTTATTAAAAAATATTTTACTTGAAACGAAATCCGAATTTAAAAAAAAAATGGTTAAAGTCATCTAAGCCTAATGACCACGGGTGATGTATTAGAAATATTATTTTAGAAATGATTTGAAGTAAGTAATATATGAACTTACAAGCTCCACATGCACTTTACAATAAGACTGGCATTCAACAATATGTTTTAGATTAAAGATACTTTCCCGCTTACAAACTGTATGATTTGATGATATATTTGGACTAAAAACATATTCAAACTAATTAATCTAAAATTTTCGCGGGGAGATACCTCAAGCTATATATAAACTGTTGTTAGAGTCCATGTCTGTCACCTCACTTCATTGAGGGGGGGGGGAGCATTTTCCAGAATGTAATTTTCATTACTTACTGTCCATTTGCCATACATATTGCAATCTGATTAAAATTCAGACCTAGATTTCGTTTTGTTTTTTTACACTTTGGATGGCCTACACTACATGAAGATCTGACAGGTTGTAGTGGAGGGTCGTGTCAGAGGTCATATGAGCGGCTGATTAACCAATCAGCGTTGATGTTTCTAGTGGGTTACTCACAGTTTCATGCACCTCACATGCTAAAAACTCGCCATAGCAGACCTTTTCAATGGCTAATCCCTCACATCATCAAGAATGCAGGTTATATAACAACTCTTCCAGATCCTAGTGTAGTAAAGATAAGTAAAACAGAATTTTGAACTATAAAAAACGAAATGAAATAGGATCTGTGTTTTAATCAGATTGTACATATTGAGGCCTAAGTAAATTCTTAAATATTTTCTGTCAACTTGTTTTTCCGCCATTTAATTCCAGGGTAATTTTGTACGTTGACACCCCTCAATGTTCCCAAAACTGCCTTACCATGGGTGTTTTTCAGGTAACCCAGTATTTTTCTAGTAAGATTGGGTGTCTATAGGCTATACTTTCCAAAAATAACAAATTTCCTATACTTTTATTGGAAATAACCACCCGTTAAATAATTTCGTGAAGTAAAAAAAACAATCTTCACAGCTAGAAGTAGACTCCGGAAGTATGTCATACATAAAAGCTCCTTATACTTCATAGTAATATTACTAATAATATTTAGAATATTATTGCCCATTAGTATGATTATCTTTATTCATGCTCGGGGGTTTGGTGGTTTAGTGGTTTAACACTTACATGTGAAATCACAAATTTAACCATCTGTTAGTCCCAAAATGACCTAGCTTGTGCCATGTGAACATTAAACCATCTTGCCAGGACAGCTCCATTTCTGCATACTCTTCTTTGAATTCTTATTATTCTAAAATGTTGATCTGTAAATCATTAAGATATCTCCTTTTCATCCGATAAAAGTTGATTTCCTCCAAAAAATAACATGAATTTGTACAGCACATTTGAACAGTTTTTGAACAAATGTTCTTTTATCACCTAATTAGTTTGTATTATATTTTAGTAAATTACAATATGCCATTCATTGACTGATTGTATTAAGAAGTGATAATAAGGATACAAAACAGAAACCCTATTAGAAAGCCATTTTAAACTAGTATATATTCCATTTTCATTGATTATATGTAAATTTGATAGATTTATAGTACTTTTCAAATCCCATTTTTTCTGGTATCAGTTGATTTGGGTGGTCGAGTGGTCTAAGGGATGTGCTTTAGATCTTACGACCTGGCATTGAGTCAAGTGGTGTGATTACGATTCCTAGCTGTTTTTCTCCAGTCCAAGTTTTATGGTTTCCTCCCACTCCTAAAGTAAAGATCCCTATGTGCAAGCAAATTATTGTAATAAAATTGAACCATATGTTAGTCCCGAAATGACATACTTTGTGTTAAGTGAACGTTTCTCTCTTTTTTCTCCTGGTACTTCAGTTACCTCCCCTAGCTAAAGACCCTTATGTTCAAGACTATCGTTGAAATGAAATTGTACCATATTTTATTCCCGTAATGAACTGGTCTGTGTCAAGTGGAAAATAATCCCTTTTCTCTGTGTTCTCTCGTATCATTTCCTCTGTAGTTAAGTTAATCTGCCCTCTTGCAGAGATGTTTACGACGCTTAAAATATAGACGATTATATCACTCACAGACAATCGATCAGTTTGATAAAAGACTGTATTAACCTTCTGTTCAAGGGCTAGTAAAATATTGAACAAACAGTCATTCAATACAGATTAACTCTGTTACCAATTATTCTATAAAGACACTTTATAATGAGAAAAGGTGTTTGTTTTCTTTAGCTGAAGGTGGAAGTTGGTCCACACGTAATCCATTAACCGCCAGATATGATATATTGATCAAGCTTTAGTTTCCTTTTACTGCCTACCTAATGACATTTTATAGACTATTAATCATTTCCTCACCAGTAAAACAGAGGAAAAGGGTTTTCAGATTAATAACAATCAGTGATTATATTATGCATATAAGTAGGAAATGGCTGCAGTTGCGTGGAAACAATTAATAATAAATCCCTGTTCCCAACCATGACAAGAACGTGATGTCCATGTTCAGATTTACATTTTGATGTAATGATACTTTATATTATGTTATAGAATAGATACACTCCAACTGAACCGTGAAATAGAGTTTTCATTATAAACATATTTTTAGATAAATAACACAATAAATGTTGAGAACATTTTATATTTTTGTAATAATCAGATAAGACAGTGTAGGGAGCCAGCAGATTAAATTTAAAGTAACTCAGGGAGATGCTAACAGGAGGTCTCAGATTTCCCAGTGTGGCTTTAGATTGACATGTGTGCATTATGGAGGGTTTGACGAGGAAGGTTGCCTAGTCATTGGGATGGGACAAAAAACAAGGCCCTGTGTATACATATGGGTGTGATTGTAAAAGAGCCCTTGACAGTTGGCCTTCGAAATAAGAGCAGGCCACACACTGTATGGCGTATGCCCATCTTCATTAACTCAGTCAGTTTTTAGGATGTTAAACCCTTTGTAATTACAAGTTTAATCCCATGGTTAGGTAAATTATAATTAGGTATATGGTCTCCTGACCTATAAATATTGTAGATTTCTCCTTTATTTATCTGTTTATCGAAATTTCATACACATGTAGTCTTACTAATTGTACAGAGGTATGTTGATTAGCGAAATCTTTTGTGATAAACGACAAAAGAATATATGCAAATGTGGTGCATTTCCTGTAGCAAGTCCACAAATATTGTAAATAGATTTATAGAAATACGTTTTTAATTGTTAGTTTAGTTAATATTAAGCATGGATAAAAGGAGGAAAATCAAAACCTCATGTCCGGACACGGTAAGACAGCCAAGTCCCCCCCCCCTCCAAATATCTCAGGGATCCATCCTTCACTGTGAATAAATACTTTTAGTGGACTGATATTATAGTGCATGTACATGTATTCTGTCACATAAAATATTCATGCTTTTGTAATCAAATTTTATGTTAAATGTGCATTTCAGATTTCATCTGTATAAATATTGCCAATTCTGTTTATTAATAACATTAAAAGAATTATATCGTGTTTACTTTCAGCATAGCTAATGATTTTGCCAGTCACAGTAATGTAGCATTAAAAAATCCAGATGGGACTTTAGGAAATCCAGTTAGTGCATTTTTATATGTCAAAAGATTTACAATTGATTGGGATAGAGAAATTGAACCAATCTTACAAAATAACACATTTACAAGTAAGTAGCTATTCACGGTACTTACTGACCAGTAATAAGAAATGAAATAGAAGTGCTTACGGCTAAAGTAATGCCAATGAACAAAAATTACGATTTTATGCCTGACCAGTGCTGGGAAGAGCTGTTGAATTGCAGGGATATCTGGTTCCATTCTTGTGAATTATATTGATTTTTGTTGATTCAAGCTAATATTACAAACATTCTTTACAGGAACCGTACAATATAAAAACATTTATATTTTCATAAAATTTCTTCATTTCTCATAAAATTATCATAAAATGGAAAAATATAATAAAAAATATAAAATTCACTATTTCTCATAAAATTATCAGAAAATGGAAAAATATCATAAAAAATATAAAATTCACTATTTCTCATAAAATTATCAGAAAATGAGACAAATTTTTTTTTTCAAATATAACATTAACCATGGCTTTTAGTGGATTAGTTTGAAAGTTGTTAAATACTTTTAAAATTCGACAATAATTTACAGTATAGATTAGGTGTTTGAGTCACAAATATCATGTTTGTGACAATTCTCAATAGTTTCTGTCATCCAAAATACCATAAAACTACGAAATTGATATACATGTAATTACAAAAACATAAAAATTCATGAAATGTGATAAAAGCATTATGAAAATATACCATTTGATAAAAACATCATAAAAATATAAATTTTTGATAAATATCTGTGTACGGCCCCTGTCTTTACCAAAAATATACTTGTATAAATATAACTAAGACAGGTAATATAGGTTACTCGTTAGGTCTTAGGATTCAAGCAGGAATTTTTGAACAAGTGGTGAAGTGAAACCAACTCTAAAAAACATTGCAACAATGTCACATGAGACAGATTTCCGTTATTACATTGTTTCTATTTAATTCCTTTTTTAAAAGATAGAAAACAAACATAGATAAATACATGGAGATGCAAATGATGATGAATTGTGCAGCTCAGCTTTAGGGAGATACATTGAATCAAGCCTAGTTCTTCTAAATTCATGAAAATTTCTCCCAATGTCTTGGTTTATAGTATGTTTACTCTAGTTTTAATGGTTTTAATTATCTTTTAGCTATGTTGCAACAGATTAAATTTTTAAAACAAGATTTACCAACATATGAAGATTTAAGTGGCGCAGCGGCAGCTTTATTACGTTTACAAGATACATATCAACTTGACACAGCTAAAATAGCCAGTGGAGAGTTGGGCAAAACTAAATGTGCAGAATTATCAGGTAAGAATTATTCTTTATTGAAGTCTATTTACAGCATAGTTTGTTTATATATGTATGGTTACATACAATAAGGTCATACATGTAGAGAACAATTTGTTAATTAAAGATGCAGATAAAGATATAGATAAAGAGCTGACCATTCTTGATATAATAGTTCAAAAATAGATAATAAGAAATTTGTATATTGAAAATTTCATTCAAATTACTTTATTCTGAGCGAAGTTATGTGTATTTGAAGTTTTAATAAGATAGTCTTGATTGTCAAGTACCAATGCTACGATAATAAACAAAATTTTGAATTAATAAATGACTTGTGGGTTCTAATCAATTCAATATCACAGTCATCCAATGTCTACAGAGTTGATTATGGGCTTGCCATGTGAATAAATTTCTAGTTAACAATTTATATAAAGGACATGCAATAGGTAGCTTTAGCTCTTACATAATGTATCTTTAAGAATACTGTAATAAAACAATATTAAGATACGGTTAGAATTTAGAAACATTAAACAATTGATTGATATAAGAATATACATAATATACAAAATAAAGTACATACTAAAACTAATAATAGTAAACTGTCAAGCAAAATGTATTTGTAAGTTATTTGGAGGGGGGGGGGGTATTACTTTTTTAAAGTATAATTATTTATTTGCAGCAAGAAATATAAATGATAAACACATATGATATTATATTATATTAACATATTCCAACCATATAATAATATTTTGTAGCATGATAGATTTACTTTGATTGATTTTTGCAAGACTAACATACTGTTAAATTTGCACTGTTAGCCAAATTTGTTATTATAGCCTATCTAACATTACTGAATGAGCTTGACAAAATAAGGCACAAGGAATGAGTTTTAATTAAGGAAATGCAAGTATATTTAGATATATCTGATACTCAGATGGCTTGTATTTATGATTATGTATATTTTGCTCAACTGACAGACATATGTGGACAGCTTGATAAATAAGTTGATGATTTCTAAAATGCCAACATATCTTGTGTAAACTATAAACCATTCCATCATCACATTAATGTCAATTAGCCTACATGATGGAGCTATTGTGGTCGCTTTGTAATAAAATGTCAGCTTGTAATCTGGGAATGTCTTGAGGTTTTGTAGTTAATAGTTCCTGTCAGTAAATTGTGAGTGCTTGTAAAAGACATTTAGGCCCATGGATTTTTTTGGAAGACAAGAATATCATTGTCACAATGTTGCATATTAGACCCAGTTTATTGAGGCTCCTTGCATGATTAATTGTCACTTGCCTTTCGAAGAAAGCAGAGGACTGTTAAAATGTTTTCATCTGTCAGTCATCTATTTATCTTGGGATTGGGGTTGGGAGGACATCAGCCTCACTCTTGACTTGTTTCTGTGCTAAAAAATAGGACATTTAACTCCCATGTTTGTACGAAAAATCACGTCTTTACCTTGTGGACTCTATAGAGGTCACAATTTTTATCCGATTTTGTTGAAACTTGAAATGTAAGTTTATAACCCAAAGATCTCGGTTCCTTTCGATATTCGCGCAGATCGGACCATAACTTCCTGAATTATGGCCCCTGATTGTACGATAAATCGCGTTTTTAGCTTGTGGACCCTATAGAAGTCATAATTTTTATCCGATTTAAAAAAAATGTATTATTATATCACCGTTACACCCTAATAATGGCTGAGTTAGAATTTTATGAAAATAGGCCCAAAATTGAAAGACAAAATGGCCGTCGTTGGTTTTCAAATAGCGTAAAAATATGGTATATCAAGGTCGTTGAAACGTAAGTTTATAACCCAAAGATCTCAGTTCCTTTCGATATTCGCGCAAAGCGGACCGTAACTTACTGAATTATGGCCCCTGATTGTACGAAAAATCGCGTTTTTAGCTTGTGGACCCTATAGAGGTCATAATTTTTATCCGATTTAAAAAACTGTATTCCCTAAGGACGACTGAATTCGAATTTCATGAAAATCAACCCAAAATTGACAGACAAAATGGCCGCCGTTCGTTCTCAAATAGCGTAAAAATATGGTATATCAAGGTTGTGGACCCTATAGAGGTCACAATCTTTATCCGATTTTGTTGAAACTTGAAATGTAAGTTTATAACACAAAGATCTCAGTTCTTTTCGATATTCGCGCATATTGAATTGTAATTTCCTGAATTATGGCCCTTGATAGTAGGAAAAATCACTTTCTTGTTAGCTTGTTCTCTATCCATCTCTCGAAAATGATGGCGTATCCTGCCTGGCAGCCGCTGGTTTATTTTTTTATTTTACCTACAACAGTATTATTAGGCCAAATCAGTCCATTACATGCAAAAATGTCATGGTTAAGATCATGTTTTGTAATTATAAACAGTAAATTACCTTGTCAAACATGGACACTAGTACTGTGATAGATTGATATTAACTAGGATAAGTACCCAAATCTTTACTAAGACTGACAAGTGTAACCCATACCCCATTTTAACAGGTCTAACCAGTTTTATTATCTCTTTATTATTGTAAGAGTGATGAGAAATTGTGATTTGAGCAGAAATATAAATCGGAGAAATAGTGTAAGGGCATAATTATTATATAACAGATATTATAGGCCATTTGAACTCTTTCACATCCACACAAGGAGGGGGGGGGGCAACTGCCACCTCATCCCCACCCTGCTATGATACTGCCTCTGCTGTGGGCTCATGTTGTCTGGCAATTTTAATTAGCAAATTTTCTTCAAAATGTCCAAATTAGGAAAAACTATTTACTTTTGATGATTTTGATCCAACGTATATACTGACATTAACCTTGGATTCCACAGCTTTGTAAACATTTGATACAAGTGTAACATGGAAAGTACACATCACATTTTTGAACAAGCTACAAGTCAATATTTGATTACTGTATTGTTAGAGAAACAGTATGTTGTTATAGATGTGATTAAAATTGACGCCTATTTCTGGTATAAGTGATAGATTTGTTGAAAGTGACAAATTTCCAGGTGGATGACTTACAGGATGGTGCAAATAAACAGATTAACAATTACTGATTTCGCAATATTACTGTTGTGCCAGCAGACATTTTGAGACCAGTCCAGTCCTGATTTCGCAACTATGTTGTTTTTTCTGTTTAATGTCATCGTGTATAATTTTATTTCCGTCTTCATTAACCCAGTCGGTACAGAAAAGTAGGATGTTAAACCCCATTTGATTTATAATTTTATTATCATTTCTAGGTTTAATCAATCTATTGTCTTGTCATTTTGACATATCTGTCATATAAAATAGATAGCCTTCCTTCGAACTTATACCTGACGAATTTAGTTTTGAGCTGGTTATGTTTTCAAAAGATTATAGAATCACTGTATCTCAAAAAGCATGATTAGGCCTTTAATCAAAGAAATGGAGGTAATAAATTTTTCCGCCTATTTCCATCCTATGTTAGACTATCCTCGCATCCAGACTGACTCTTCCTGTTAGTTTCCTAGGACGACTTGTCTGCAATAATACCATTGGTGAGAGTGGATGTTAAGCCCCACAAGCGAGCAAACAAACTGAATGGAAAAACAAAAGGACGGACACCACAGGATTTGTTCCTAAAAAAGCCTGAAGTTATTTGTGACATTGCCATTGACAGATGGAGAGTACCAGATTTACAAGTAGGCGTGGATGGCTAGGGCCTTGAGATATTCTTGTTCTCCAACAATCCTTTAAAACAAATCTGATGTGGGTGGGAGGCTTTTATTTTTTATAGTTTTTTTGTCAAAGGAGCATGTGGCTAAATATCTCATCACTTGTTTTTTTGTGCTGTTCATAGTAATTCTCGTGTTTCACTCTGCAAAGCTGAATTCAAGTTTATTTATAAGCAGTAACTAATTGAGAATGTTTTGATCCTTTTGAATAACATGCTTACCCATATGTACGTCTAGGTGTATTTGATTGAAAGATGGGAGACTTAAATGCACATGATAAATGTAAAACCATTTAGGTACTTGCCCAAGTGAATCTTTTTTTTTTTTTTTTTTTTTTTTAATCACTCAGTGGCATAAGGTCACAAAATATAAAAGTCACTTAATTTAATAGTGGAGAAAGGTGTAAACACAGCATCCTGCTAAAGTCATTACTGAAAATAATTTACCAGGATCTAACTGTGTGTAAATGTGGGTTATTTGATTATTCACCCATAGTGTTAACCCTTTAGAACCTAGGCTGCACGAAATTACTGCTCTCTTTATCACCTCAAACCTCCAGAGTATCGGAAATAGATGTGAATTATTCAAGAACAATGTACTAAGCTAAGTGTGTGAAACCGGGTTGAGGCAGTCTACGGCTGCCTTTTTGATTCAATATAAGAAATGAAAACTTTCTTTTTTTGGGGAGGGGGGGGGGGGCTGGGGTACCAGGTGCAAAAGGGTTAATATATTACCCTCACAGTTAAGATCTCACCAATTTTAGTAACACCAAATGCATCAATTACAATACTATTATTATGTTTGTTATAACCATGTAACACCCATGTTAATGCATGCTGCATGTTTCAGCTAATGATTGTTATGAGATTGGTAGATTATCATATAATGATGAAGATTTCTACCATACTACACTATGGATGCAGGAAGCTATTGAAAGAATACAAGCTGATATAAACTCTACGCTGTCTAAATCTACCGTTTTAGATTATTTAGCTTTCGCTTTATATAGGGTAAGTCACTTTCTATAGGGTATATTACCTAGGGTAAGTCACTTTCTATAGGGCATATTACATAGGGTAAGTTTCTTTCTATAGGGTATTTTAGCTAGGGTAAGTCACTTTCTATAGGACATATTACTTACGGTAAATTTTTTTCTATAGGGTATATTATCCAGGGTAAGTCACTTTCTGTAGGGCAATGCTACCTTGGGTCAGTCACTTTCTATAGGGTATATTATTTAGGGTAAGTCTCTTTCTACAGGGTATATTATCTAGGGTAAGTCTTTTTCTATAGGGTATATTATCTAGGGTAAGCCTCTTTCTATCAACAAATATTGTCTGTATATTGACATTTGTTTTCAGTTTGTACTTATCCGGCAAAAAACTCTGTTGACATTATATTCTGATAATACCCTACAAGTTAACAGTGATAAAGTTTTAATTAAACTCATTATAAAACAATCTTGTTAATGGAGGCTATATCCTGTTCTAACCAGACAATAAAAATGTGTTTAATATCATTAGTTTGATATAGAGTGTGATTACGGTGATATTATAAAAACATGTGTTTATTAAAGTCATACAAAACTGTTGAGTTTAGTCAGATACAGTACACATACACCACAATTACTGTTAAATTAAAGGACAATATTGGTGCCAGTCATTATCACATATGTGATAGAAATGGTTAAACAGATTCCAAATATTATTTTATCAAAGTGATCATTGCTACGATAGATGCGTAATCAATGTTTCAACAATCGGAAGTGACGAACGCAAAAGGAAAACACGAGTTATACCTCTATATAGCTGACTGAAGTGACGGGTGATAACAGATACATGGGCGAATTTCTGCTCACTAATAATTCCTTCGAAGACCAAAAGTTGTTGTGTGAGACTGTGAAAGGATATCTGACAATTCATAAAAAAATTGACTTTCACTAGATAAGAGAACATGAAAGAAAAATAGAAAAAGTCTGTGCATTACCATGTTTTTATAAGTATAGAATGAATAAACACACTGAATGTATGGACGGTTTCTATTTTTCTCAAGTTCTCTTATCTTATGACATTCAATTACTTTATTGAATTGTCAGATATACTCTTACAGTCTCATATAACAACTTTTGGTCTTCGAAAGAATTATTAGTGAGCAGAAATTCGCCTATGTATCTGTTATCACTCGTCACTTCAGTCAGTTATATAGAGGGATAACTCGTGTTTTCCTTTTGCGTTCGTCACTTCCGGTTGTTCAAGCATTGATTACGCATCTATTGTAGCAATGATCTCTGTGGTAAAATAATATTTGGAACGTGTTTAACCAGTTCTATCACATATGTGATAATGACTGGCACCAATATTGTCCTTTAATTTTAATATATTAAAAAAGAAAGATTTCTGCATGACTAGAACTAACATAATTCAAAGATTTCAGAATTTGAACTTTACTAACATTTGTGTGTTCAGTTTTGTTACTTGGTACCAGACAATGGTAACACATTATGCATCTTCAGTTTCACCGCATGAACGTGCATGCATTGAAATATGCATACCAAACCTTATATAATAAAATTACCGTCATATTTAGAGTTTGTGTACTAATAACTAGTTTAGACACCAATAATTAGCATGAGGTTTTATAAACAAAAAGCATGTCATTGTGACATTGAATTTATAAATTGATATCTGAATTTTTCATCAGCGGAAGAATGTTTTGAGTTGGGTCGTTTTGCGTATAATGACAAAGACTACTATCATTGTGTACTGTGGATGCAAGAATCTTTAGATCGTGAAGCATCAGAAAACAACAAAACTATACCACGAAAAGAAGTATTGGACTATCTCGGCTATGCTACTGCAATGGTAAGCTAATTAGTGGAATTTAAATCTACTTTGACATACAGTAACTATGAAGAAAATAAAACTACTTTAATATATTGTAAATATGGAGTAAATAAAACTTCTTTAATACATGGTAACTATGCAGTAAATAAAACTTCCTTAATATACACTAACTATGGAGTAAAAAAAACCTTCTTTGATATGCAGTAAATATGGAGTAAATGAAACTTCTTTAATATATGCTATGGAGTAAATAAAACTCCTTTAATATAATAGTAGAGTAAATAAGTAAGTACAGTAACTATGGTGTACATAAAATTACTTTAACATACAGAAATTATGGAGTGAATGATTGTCAAAAAAGTGCTTTAATACACAGTATCTATGGAGTAAATAATAGATCTAAATAAAACTGTTATAATATACAGTAACTAGGAGAAATAGGTTCTAGTTTTGCTACTGATCTTGTTGAGAATTCTGAAACCACCTGTTGAAAAGGGTCTGTTAGACATGAGCTGCTGATCTTGTGTTTAACTTATGCCCTAGTCTTCTGCCCTAAATGACATAAAAACAAAAGAACAAATTTCCAAGATAATTGATTTGTTGATGATATATAGTGAATGTTAAATAAATAAATCACACTTGTCAGGTAATTGATCCGATAAGTTGGGATTTAAATTTTGTTGTTTTTTTTTTTTAAATGGGAATTGATATCTGAAAGATTATATATCGAAAAAAGTAAGTATAAATCAAAAAGAAGAAAAAAAACCAAATCCAATCTCAGTGTAAATTCATTGTATAATTTTACGAGAAGAAAAGTAAAAAAAAAAAAAAAATCAATGTCATTGATTGTTATAAAACAGATCAGATTACATCTGATCACAATACTGTATGTATTTACAGCAGTTGGAGATATTTCATTTTATTTTCTTGCATACTTTATCTTGTACATGTAAACAGTTAAAGGCCTAAATGAAATATATTTGCAGTTTCAATTTCTTAATCAGAAAATGCAGTAGTAGATTTTCCTTCTATTTCATGAAATACTGGTAGCTAACATGGCCCACTGCATTATTTAGGGTGATCTCTGGTGAATAACTTCTTTGTCAGAAAGGGAAGTTGGGTTGTCGAAAGGTGTAACACATACACTTTAACTAATAAAGACCAGTCAGAGCAGAACAGTAGGACATTGCACAACGTTTTAGTCCTGAAATGGCCTAGTTTGTGTTGAGTGGTGGACATTAAACTCTCTCTCTCTCTCTCTCTCTCTCTCTCTCTCATGTTAATGATAAATATAATTGTCATCTATCAATGTGTACATTGCTATAAATCTCTTTTCAGACTCACATACATGTGTCACGTTGATACCTGTTGACATTTAAAAGTTTCTATACCAGACAATTCATTTGTTTTTTGATGGCAGATTGCATTAAAGATTGTATTTAACAGCTCAACAAATTGGGCCTATCAATGTGTTTTCATCATGTTTTTTTTATTTGTAAATGGAAAAAAGTTGCAGCTCTTAACAATAAATCTTCAGGTTATCATTGTTTTTTTCATTTGTTTCAGCAAGGAAATATACAGCATGCTTTATCACTGACAAATGAATTGCTGAAAATAGGTAAGCTTTAGTAGAATTCAGGTTAAAAACAATCTGATTAGAACACAGAACCTGTTTCGTTTCAAATCGTTTTTTGTCTTCAACTATAACTATCTAGAAGAGTTGTTAAATAACCTGCATTCTGGTTGATGGAAGGGATTAGCCAAACAAATGATCTGTTAGAGTGCAGTACTTATTGTCTGGCTTATTTGCAGCGATAGAAAGCAAATAAAAGTGAAAATTCTATTACCGGTTATAAACCTATGACGGTAAATCCCTTTGATGTTAGGGGTATATTCTATGCCCGAAATAACTTGCGGTCTGAAAATCTAGAGCGGCTTTGAATATATATAGGGGAATTTGGAGTTATTTTCTTTAAACATGTAACGGGTTAGCCCCCCCCCCCCCCATAAGAAAACAGGATATAAGGTTTTTCTTACTGGAATTCTGGGATATTCTCACATTTACGTACATGTAAGCATAGACAGTTTATAAGCAAGATGAAGTCCTCAACTTAGGTTATGCTGGGGAAGAAAGACTTCAGAAAAACCCTTGAAAGAAAAACCTTGGCCTGTCAGCCACGGTTTTTCTTTTTCTTGGATTATTTTCTTCAATCTTTCTTTCCCCAGCATAACCGAAGTCATGGACTTCATCCTACACTTAATCGAATAACGGATGTCATAGGGACAAAAGCCACTCGTATCACCCTGGCGTGACCTCCCACTACAATTAGATCTACATGTAATGGAGGATGTCGAATGTATATAAAAAAAAGAATTGAAATATAGATCTGTATTTCAATCAGATTAAAATTATTCAGGTTATAAAATCAATATTCCAACAGGTGTATAGATAATGTTATGTACAAAGTCATTGTGAATACACTTTTATAGGCTCTATTTAAATTTATTGTGTGACATATGTCTACCTATTTTGAATATTTCAATTGATTAATTCAGTTATCATTAAAGATGGGTTTCCAGAAAAGTATTTATCGGGTGGCTATTTCCAATAAAAGTATGGTAATTTTGGTACATATGGAAAGTAGAGATATCCAATCTTACAGGACAAAATTGTAAGGGTTCCCCTAATCAACAGCCTTACGATTAGGAATTTCTGCACGCGTGATGTCAAAGGTCACACACGAACATTGAGCTCTTGATGTACATGTACAAGTTGATAAAATTTATGAAGAGTTAGACGTACAACACTTTCTGAGATAAAAATGACGCAGGTAGTGGATAATCCAAGAATTTAATTAAGATTCGATATTTGTAATAAATAGTAAGCATTAAAGACAACATCGACAACATCGTCTTATGTATGCAATGAATTCTCCTCGGACTTCCACGAGAGGTAAGTCACGTGACGTAAACATGACCTGGTTTGATCAAATTTTTATAGCAGGACATTCCTTCGCAATTACAATGTTTGAGAAGGATTTGAAGCAAAGTTATGACAAATTAATTAGATAGAATATGTTTTTAGTCCATGCATACCATTAAATCACCCAGTTTGTACGCGGGAACCCATCTTTAATAACTAGAACTATATGTATATCATCACCTTCATTATGTGGGATATACAAAGATGTCTGAATTTAGGACAAACTTTCATATCAAATAATTTCTTAAAAACAAAATTTCTCTTCAAAGAAGAGTGGGGAATAATACTGGATCTTTATTCTCAAAATTTTTAACTAAAATATTTTAATAATCCCGGCCTTTCATTGGCTAAGCACTAAAAACTGTACTAGGATTTTAACTCTATACCAATGAAGGGTCAGGGGTAGGGGCTGGTATAGTGGTTTAATTATAAGACAGTCGAGTTTTCGACTACAGTGTCTCTGTAGTCATTAGTGGGATGCGATTGGTATTCTTTTTCAAATCAATACAAATTTAAAACTATTTGGACAAGATTTGAATCAAATATTACCTTGTGTTCCTTTAGATATATATATATATTAAAAAAAAATTATTTTTGTAGATCCATATCATGAGAGAGCCAGGAATAATCGTGGTTATTATCAGAGAATGATTAAAGAAGAAGCCAAATCTCGTAAAATGGGAGATGATGGTGAAGGCATATCCCATGAAATCAAGAATAAACGACACATTGATGATTATAGAAATTCTAATGAATTTTTAACTTATGAATCTTTATGTCGAGGTGAAAGAACACAGGTAAATACATATTTTAATATCAGGTTTTTTTTGTAGATAGGATTTGTCATGAATGTTAACATGAATATGCATGACCTTTGTATATATGAATAGTAATGAGTTGCATGTGAGTTCAGCCGTGGCGCGATTCAGTTTGCCAATTTCGAAACGTCTTATGTTGTATTTTCTGTTGGGTAGTTTATTATGAGGTTGAATTTTTAGACATAAAAATATATACCTGGTCAGTGCCAAGAAGACCTGTGTAAGGTGCCATAAAAAGATAATTAAATAAATGAAATACTTTGTTATTTCCCTTTGTAATGTACATATTATAAATTAATTCTAATTGATTACATTAGGGGGCCCCAGGACTTGCTACAACTCACGACAGTCTCGTCTATAGGTATCTTACATGTAGATACATGTAAATATGGTGACAAGTTTGTACAAATGTGATCCAAGACTAGACTAAATCAATAATGATTTAAATTCTATAGTATAGTCATTTTAAAATTCAATATGATGAACTTGTGGTCAGGAAAGTGGTAAAGCCTGTTATTGTATTTTAGACCCTTGTGCATAAAACTTATTCCCCTCATGTTCAACATTAAATTTATCATGACGATAAAAAAAAAAATGCTTAGTATCGTAATGGTTGTTAAATTTACATATAATTACAGTTTGTGTGAGCACAAACTTCCAACCTATAGCCTCCAGTTATAATCTTGTTGCCTGTATCTGCCTTGAGATTTATTAAAAATGTAATTGATAGAGTGTCTTTAAGTTAAAACCCATCAATATAGTGAACTATATATTTACTGCTAATTACACCTAATTAGACATTAAATGTGACACTTGTTTTCTTTCTATGTCACATGGTTACCATGTAATTGACGTGTGTAAACAATTTATTACACAGATGTCATTATATAGATGTCATATTTGTAATAGTTCAGTCAGATGAATTAATTATAGGGGGCACTCTTTCAGAATAAGAAATGAAATGGGATTTAACATCCTACTTTTCTGCACCGACTGAGGCAATGAAGATAGACATACACATATAGTGTTCTATGAGGGAAGTTTTTACCTGACAGTGAGAATTTTGTCAAGAAAAGGAAGTCAGAATAGCAAAAATTAAACTGTACAATTTGCATAAGGGGCATCATAGGTTGATGGAATTTCAGTTGATCATATCTCTGTAAATATAGAACGGAATTGAACCATTATTGGACTGATATTCCTGTTAGAGTCCAAACTTGTACGATATTGTAGTTTCCAAGGGATTCCGATATTGCTAAAATCACCATAACAGACTTTATATAATCCATTCAGCTGAACAATAAGCTTTTGCTTTTGGTATTAGCATTTCTCAAAATTCTTTAGCTTGGATCTTGATCTTGGAACTTTCAGGTGAAATGAGCCATAGGGTATACCCAATTTTCACGATTCCATGAATAAAATTTGTGATAATTGAAGCTGGACATGTCAAGTTGGGGTTGGGACTAAGTGGTCACTGATCTTTGTTACATATAAAAGCTATCTCAAAATTTCCGTGCTCAATTTTGATTGAGTATACAATTTTAAAAGAAAACTATTAATCACATTAAAAGTACAATTCCATTATTTATAAGTAGTGACCGATATGTAACTTTAATGTCATTGGAATATTAGCACCTGGTAATAGAGTTGCTGGACTTTAAAAATTTTAATAGATAACCAGCTGTCAATCTCCTTCTATGGAGAATTTTCACCTCTATTGTAACATAGTTTTAAAAGAAATAAAATGGGGTTAACGTCCTACTGTTCTGCTTTGACTGGGCTAAATAGTTTTAAAGGAGCTAAACCGCTAACTCAGTATTATCCATAATATTCAAAATTTTTAGTTTTAAAGGTGCTAAACCGCTAACTCAGTATTATCTATAATATTCAAAATTAAAAACATGAATTAGAGAATTCATTATTAGTCAGTTTCAATAAATATTTATGTTTTTATCTTTCCGTTAAAATGTCAAATTTTAATATCCAATGGTCATTTTAAAATCAATACAAAACCTTGTGTACTTGATGGATATAATGATTTTGAACTGTATTTGTAATGAACTAAAATATTATGAAGTAATTAAAATGACTGATTCACAAAATGCACCAAAAAAAATGATTAAACTGTGTAGAATGGACTACGCACGCACCAAGGACTGACACCCAATTTGAACTGTTAGTGTATTTCACCGAACATAATTAATTAGAAATTGCCATAAGAATTCAGAAATTAAGTATCAATTTTAAGATTCCAAAGAATAAAAGCTATACATCCTTTAATTTTATGCTAACTTGCATTAAATATTGTTAGTAGGCCTGTATTGAGTGCTTAAAACATTTGATTACAGGAACTTAATATGATTGTTAGTGCCAGCAAGAATTATGCACTTATCAAATTTAATTATATCTAATAATTACTTGATGGGTTGTGGCCCTTGATCAGTTTTTTATGTCTTGTAAATGCTCCCATTAAATAACGGCTTTGGACATGCATTTCAGTGCTTGGACTATCTGTCTTTGAAGAGACTACAAACTGATTTCTCTGGAAAAAAAACCAAAGCTTAATTGAATCATAGTAATATGATGTATGAGTATATTTACCTGTCTTGAGCATGCTTTTACGCCCATAATGATTGCCTGGGGTAATTAGGTCTCCATAACATGTTAAACTAGTAACAATATATAATACACAGTAATTACAAGAAAAGACTTGATGTCGTTTTCTATGATAGACTATGTTAATAAATATCTAATTATCTCCCGAGGCATTTAATCATTATTGATAAAACAATTGTTCGTCTAGTTCATTATAATCTATCCTACTGTTTCTATACGTAAAAACCTGCCGGCTACAATCTCTTTAATCCACATCTTTATTGATCTGAACAACATGTACCAAGACACGGGAAAATATTTTGACAAAACAATCGCTTGAAAAAACGATTTTATTTAGATAGATTTGGCAAATCATGGTTTAATATGGCTTGAAAAAAACTTTTGACGTGCATGGTTAGACAGAAATCCATTATTAAAACTTTCTTTTTAGGTAGATTGTCATATTTTATTGTCTGTACTGTATGAAGATAGATATGTTTTATTCATATTCATTGATAGCATGTTTTTGTCTTTATTGTCAGAAATATTGTACGGAAAGTCGTGTTTTTAGCTTTTTGACACTCAAGGGGTCACAATTTTCATCCAGTGTTGATGAAACTTGAAATTCAGGTTTATAACCCAAAGATCTTGGTTCCTTTCGGTATTCAATTTGTGCATATTGGATCGTAACTTCCTGATTTATGGCCCTTGATTGTACGAAAAATCGCTCCTTTGTGCTTGTAACGTTCGAATATATCATCGTTACACCTCAGTGAGGGTTGATAATTACACAAGTAGTGTAAAAGTATGTAATACCAAGGTTGTGGACCCCCTAGAAGTCACAATTTTTACACGATTTTGATGAAACCTGAAATGTATGATTATAACCCAAAGATCTTGGTTCCTTTCAATATTCGCACATATCAGTCCGTAACTTCCTGGATTATGGACCCTGATTGTATGAAAAATCATATTTTTTAGCTTGTGGATTCTCTAGAGGTCATAATTTTTATCTGATTTTAAAAACTGTTTAAATATATCACCATTCCACCACAATGAAGGTTGAATTCTTTGTACGCAAATTGTGTAAAAGTTTGTAAAGCAAATGTTGTGGACCCTCTAGAGGTCACAATTTTTATCCGATTTTGATGAAACTTAATATAAATATATTGTTATATCCCAAAGATCTCAGTCCCTTTAGATATTTGTAAATTTCAGACCATAACTTTCTGGATTATGGTCCCTGATTGTTCGAAAAATTGCTTTTGTTTTTAGCTTGTTCTCTATCCATCTCTTGTAAAATGTGGGCGTATCTTGCCTGGCAATTGCTAGTTACATGTTTTATTCAAATTATGGTATTAATGTAAATAATATTATAAAGAGAGAAAATGTTTTGAGACAGTTAATTGACGATAAATAGATGCAGTGAAACACGATAATATGGAAATATACATGGACACTTTAGCTACATGTAATTCAGACAATGGAATTATAGATTGAAACATACCTGTTTTGGTTTTTATGCTGAATTTTATCAAGATTGACACATACCCGTCTTAATTTGCTAGAGATGTAAATGATATAATTGAATAATGTGTAAATCAATATTGTAGACAGTATTAAGAATGTACATCATAAGCACAAAATAGCTCAGACAGATAATTGCTACAATTTAGAGAAATTGTAAATACATTGTATTCATATTGTTTTTCAAACGGTGTACCTTGTGGATGAAGATCACAAAAACATACCCATATGATTTTTTTCATAAAATTGAAATGAAATGAGGTTTGACGTCCCAATCTTTTACACAAATCTGTTAAATAATGAAGATGATCATAATCCTTGAGTGGCATTTAGCGATTGAGCACATTTATGGTTTTTTTTGATGAAGATGATCATATACTGTGCAGTGTGAGAATTTATGAAAACTTTATTGGCTAACGCCTTGATTAACACTTGAACCGCCTGATTAGTGAGCAACTGCTATACTCTCTTGGACACCTTTCTTTCCTATTCGATGAAAGAACCATGTTGTTCTGATGTCATTATATTTTTGTCTAGAAATTGCAAAACATTTCTTCAAACCCCTTTCTATTTTGCCTGACTTAACTACATGAACAAAAAATTTCAAAAGTGTCTTGAATGTGTTTGTTTAAAATTCTGAAGAAAATGAATTGTGCAATACAAAAATAATATTAAAAGAAAAAATCAGAAAAATTTGATAGTTTGTATATGCAATATTTAGGCCATATCTTTAGACTTATTTTCTGGAGATTTTTTATACACGTCTACAATTTCAGCATTTGCTTTTTTTATTAGATTTACAGGTACATTGTCGATGCTATTCATGTCTGTCTGTTCTCTGATTCGTGGAGTAGTCTCTCTGTTAACACCAGAATATATCTTTCATTTCAGAAAGTAAAAGATGAAGAAAAGTTAAGCTGTCGATATAAACATAATAACCACCCATTATTATTATTACGACCAGCTAAAGAAGAAGATGTACATTTGGATCCATGGATTGTTATTTATCATGATGCTATGTTAGATGGAGAAATACAAACTATAAAACAAATAGCTACACCAAAAGTAGGTAGTAATTAACATGAAATGATCATTTATTTGACATACATATATACAAACATGGCAAAGATCAATTATTCTTTAAAGTGGAAGGGGGGTTGGATGGTCGAATGGTTAGCGTGTGCGTGTTGGATCATACAATCTTTTATTGAGTCAACTGGCATGGTTTCGATTCCCCAGTTGTACGTGAAAAGGAGTAGGGTCGCCTGTCCAACCTTGTGGGTTTTCTCTGGGTCCTCCGGGTTGCTCCCATTGCTAAAGACCCTACACGCAAGCAAATTATTGAAATAAAATTGAACCATATGTTAGTCCCAAAATGACCTAGTTTGTGTCAAGTGGACCTTGAACCGCATCTCTCTCTCTCTCTCTCTCTCTCTCTCTCTCTCTCTTTCATTGCCTGATAATAATGTGAACATATAACCAGCACTATTCTACACTGCCTGTATGTTCATAGTTCATTGAAAGAGTTAAGTTCTGTACAATTCAAGCAATACTGCATTAAACAGATAAGTCCTCAGTGACAATTTGGAAGTTGATTCCAATGAGAAGCTGGCAAGATATTTGAGAATTAGCCGAATCAGAGGTTATTTTGAATATGAGATTATAGGGTGGCCGGGTAGTATAATGTATGCGCTTAAAATCATAAGGTCTGTCATTGAGTCAATTGGTGTCGTCTCGAGCCCACCCTTGGCAACAAAGTTTATTTGTCCCCCAAATTTATTAGATGGGCTGATATTTATCTAAATGACCTTAGGTTACATGAATTTTAAGAAAAGTTAATACCTATTTATATTTGTAGTTAAACAGAGCCACAGTTCAGAATGCCAAAACTGGTGCCTTAGAAACAGCAAATTACAGAATCAGTAAAAGGTAAAAATATTTGTATTTAAATAATTGAAACATGATGGAGTCATGGTGTTGGTTGAGAAAGTTCCTCTGGATTTTATGGTTGGTAAACACATGAAATAAAGTCACCAATCAATAAAGTCATGTTTTGTTATTAACCCGTTAACTGCGTAGGACGTTATATAATGTCCTGGACAACTGCCACTCACCGTGTGTAGGGCGTAATATAACGCCTTGGAGGTATTTTCCCCAACCTATTCTTCAAACATATTTACCGTTAGTTTGAATATGGTTTCAGACTACTATCATTTTTTTTTTCAGGAATAAAAAGGTCCAAAAATGAAGTTTTTCGTCAAATTAATTACACAATAGGGGGTAGTTAACATTTTAAAAACTACACAGTTAACGGGTTAAGAAATGTACTTAGTAGATATTGCTATAATATATTTTCTCTCTTTTGGTTTAATCTTTGACTAAATCTCCCCATTGGTATTTAAGGCTTATATTTGTATTTTCAGTGTTTGGATAAAAGATGATGATCATGCTGTAGTACGTTGTGTTAATAAAAGGCTTATATTTGTATTTTCAGTGCTTGGTTAAAAGATGATGATCATGAGGTAGTTCATCGTGTTAATAAAAGAATAGAAGCTATAACAGGGTTAACATTAAAAACTGCAGAAGAATTACAGGTGAGTAAGTCTATCGGGGTGCTAGCTGACTGACTACGAGATCTGGGGTTCCATTTTAGTATTGGTCAAGAATGTTCTCCAGTATTTTCTAGGATGTTTCCCCTTTGTCAGTGGTGCAGGACATAGGGCCTGGCAATGATAGTGTCTAGTCGTGTTGTCATGCAGGTAAATGAACCCTTGACATTCAATATTAAGGTAGGCCATTACGCTGCTGTCTGGGCAAAATTTCCCTCAAAGCAAACTGTATGGCATACGCCCGTCTTCATTAGCCCAGTCGGTGCAGCAAGGTAGGATGTTAAACCCCATTTCATTTCATTGTGGGGTGGGTGTCGAAGCAGATACTAACTAAAATAAAGATTTTGGATGTTACAATTACTGCTGGGCTTTATATGAAATGTGAAGAAATGATAATGCTGTTTTATTTGTTCTTGAAGAACTACCTACTGGAACACGCAACTGTATTTCTTTGATAAATCAACTGTTTTCTGTCTAATAATCCGATTGATTTTAAACATGCATTATGTATGAGCTAAATCTGACTAAAGCAGTTCTTTCTTTAGGCCTTAAATGTTACATAAACTATTATTTGGACATTTATTAACATGACAAGACCTATCCTATTTTAAGTAGATTAGAACAGTTCAGCCATTTTATGATTTAATCTAAAAACGGTGAAGCAAGGCTAAGCTTCAAACAACCAGTACAGTGGTTACAATCAGTGCTCACATCTGGTCAAACCTTCAAAGGCTAATATCTTTACTCAGAAGGAAGTAATATGAATGAAATTTTTGATATATTTATTTTACATAATCTATTTTTGAACTATTATTATATCAAGTACATCCAGCTCTTTATTTAAACTTTAAATACTATATCTTTAATATTTTACCTGTATCAAACACATGACACAATTAAATGGATTACAAGTTACTGGCAATGTTTCAACAAGGGTCCTCTCATCTTTATCAATCAAAGACAGAACACATCAGTTTCTTGCCTATTATTGAACCACTCTGATAATTTCTGTATTTAATTATCTTTTTTTTTCTTTTACAGATTGCAAATTATGGTCTTGGAGGACATTATGAACCTCATTTTGATTTTGCCAGGGTAAACAAAAAGGCCGGTCTTCAAATTTCTGTTTTTTTCTAACCAAGATGACAGAAGCTTGATACTAATTCTAGATAATTCTGAGTTTACTTAATTTATCACCTGCATCTATTGGAAGAAAAAAAGAAATTGTCTATAAACAAAATTACCTTACATACTTTGTACTAATTTGGGCAAAAATCAGATTACTAATTTGCTTCTGAAAGCTTAGCATGTTCATACTTATTTAAAAAGAATCTAAATCATATTTATATGTGCTATGCTTCTACAATGTAGAGTCTTTATCTATTATTTAGAAAGCAATTAGAAATAATACTCAATAAATATTACCTTGGCAATTAAAATATTTATTTTCTCAAATGCAGTAAAAAAAATTTAAACTCACTGATTTCTATGAAGACCGTATTTATATATTATTTCTTCTTTTTTGAATTTTTATGTATTTTTTTAAATTCTGTGTCAATTTTATATGTCCGTTACATATTGTAGTCTTTTTCCGGCATCTGACCATAAGTTGTGAACAGTCTACTGGTTAGAGATATTTAGGGATTTTTATCAAATCTACAGAGATTGTTAAATGGCTCATCTGTTCAGAAATTTTCAATCATATTCCACTCAGTTTTCATCTGATTTATTTTCAAATTTATGAAATCTTGTGACTGAAATACAGGTTAAGGTTCTCGATAGAATTTGGTTATAGGAAACCTTGTTAAAATTCAAAATGTTTTATGGCTGATTTCAGAATTGTTTTGAAACACTTTTGATTGTTCATTAGTGTAAAAATGTCATGTTAGTCCTGAAATGACCTGGGTATTGAATATTGGAATGGTTATCAGTTTTCTCTGTTTTTTTCTTATAGAAGGAAGAAAAGGATGCATTTAAATCTCTTGGTACTGGAAATCGAATAGCAACATTCCTCTTTTACGTGAGTTTAATGTAAAATTTTTACCAAAAATAAGCAGTTTTCTTCTCTATCTTCCGTTTATCTGCTAAAATATCGCAAATAAAACTAAATTTCTAGGTTCAAAACTTGAGTCTTGAATCTAACATAACAATACTTTCTGCTGTCTGAAATTATTTCAATAAGTTGTAAATGAAACTATATTTATAGGAAGCACAATGTTCAAAACTTTAATCGGATGTCACAATGCTGTCTGATGTCTGTAATTATTTAAATAAATTGCAATTGAAACTAAATCTCTGTGCAGAACTTGGATCTAACATAACCATGCTTTTTTGCTATTATATAATTTTTATTTATTATAATATTTAGATGTCTGATGTTGAAGCTGGTGGTGCCACTGTATTTCCATATATTGGTGTCAAACTTTTCCCTAAAAAGGTAGAGTGTAATATATGTAAAATTGTTTTGATCCATAAGGGGGGTTGGGTGATCTAGTGTACCTCAGATCAAAGGCTTGTCATTGAGTCAAGTGGTGTGGTTTTTGGTCCAAACTCGTACATGACAAAGAGTAGAGTCACATGTCCAACTGTGTGGGTTTTCTCAAGATCCTCTGGTTTCCTCCCACAGCTAAAGACCCCAACACTCAAGCAAATTATTGAAATAAAATTGAACCATACCATATGTTGTCCCGGCATGACTTAGTTTGAGTTGATCCATAGGTTAGTCAAAGAAGAATATAAGACATTAATCACAAGGTTATGTCTTGAAATCTTGTGTGCATTGTACAGGGAGAAATTACCAATACCAAGTTGGATCTAGCTATCAGATCATAATTTCCTGGCTTCGATTCAATTAGATTAAAAACCAGCCCATCAAAAGTTCTACCAAGCACTTGTAGCTGGCCCTGGCTTGTTTATATCTTATGCAGAGATGATGGATGTTGCAAAATATTCAATTCATTATATATACTGAATGGGATTTATCCATTTGTCAACTAGTATTCCTTTAATGATTCAACTTTCAAAATATTTTAGTTTGCAAGGGATTCCAATTCTCTTGAAGATTCATGGCTTTCTATAGAAACAAACTCATTAAACTTATATTATTATCTGGAGGTCGCAGATTCACTCCCGGTGTTGGCCGAGAAAGTTCATAGTAATTATCCGCCATAGTTTCTCCTTGTCAGTGGTACATGATGGAGGGCCTGATAAGGACAGCTATCTAGTCTTTCGGATGGGAAGAAAAACTGAGGTCCTGAGTACACATTGGTATGCACGTAAAAGATCCTTTGAATTTGATATAAGAGTAAGCCTTACTGATGCTGTCAGGGCAAAAGTTCCTTCATAGTACACTGTATGGCGTATGCCCGTCTTCATTAGTGCAGTCGGAGCAGAACAGTAAGATGTTAAACCCCATTTCAACTCATTTCATTTAAGTTATTATTTATTTTAGGGTGCTGCTGCTTTCTGGTATAATTTATATAAAAGTGGTGAGGGTATCTATAATACACGACATGCGGCCTGTCCCGTCCTAGTTGGTGTTAAATGGGTGTCTAATAAATGGATTCACGAAAGAGGACAGGAATTTTTACGACCCTGTGGTAAAAAATTTGAAGAGTAATCACAATATGCTGTTATTGTTTAAAATAATGCCATATAATGTCATTGAATGAATGTGAAGAAATTATATAAGAAAGTTTGTGAATGAATGAACAAATATGTAAATATTATTGCCTTTATATTTGTAGTGGAGAATCTCTCTCGAACCATTAATAAAAAATAACCACATAATAAAATGCAGGGAACTTATTCACAAAAACTTTGATCTCTTATAACTGATGGGAACATAAAATCGAGGTTTTAATTTGGTAATGAGTGAGTATCGATTTTAATGATGCGTGTGTTGCTGGTTGTGAAATTGTGGTTAAAATGGTACCAGAGATAGTCACCTTGACAGTGATGGAGATTGGCTACCATGACAAATCCATTCTTTATTACACAGTATAAACACATGAATATCATTTAGCTATTTAAAAACTTGAAAAGTTATGGCATAATAAACATAATATGGAACATAATTACTATTATAATTAAAGCAACGTTTTATTGAGTGTTTTCTCAATGTTATCAAGCAAATGATGATGAATAGACTTGTGGTAAGTTATGATAGATTTTAAGAGAATTATTTTTTATGAATAAGGTCCCTGATTAACCATAATTATTTTACTGTTAAAAATCAAAACCAAGAGTTTACATATAATTTAGTTGTCATTCCATGTTTATAAATTGTTTTTATACTAGATCTGTTAAATTTTCTTCCATAAATTTTAATTGTAAATATATAATTTGTATCTGTCTCTTACGGAACTCAAACTGGGTACTAAACTCAAAATAGATTTTTCCTAACATTGTATTTGACAATAAGGAGAGTTTGCGTATAGCCACACCAGTTTAAATTTCTATTCTTCGGGAACACCTATTCAAAATTTGGCCTCGACTTTCTTCAGGACTTAGTTACTCTTCTCAAAAGCTTTTAGTGCTGAAGATTAAATTTTTGAAATTTTAACAAAACATAGGACAAAAGAATTGAGTTTGTTATTTATTGATCAAAACCCCTCCCGAAGAACTCAAAATAAATTTGGTTTGACCTAATGAACGTGTTAAATTGACATGTATCTTCCACTGATTGGACGATTACAATCTTTAGAGATCTGTTATTTGGTTATTATTGGAATCATTGTCCTTATTCCATTATATATGTATGTAACATTTAAGAGAAGTCGGTAGACTATAGAATAACACGCTACTTGACAACAGCAAAAAATCCAACACTTATGTATGTAAATATGTCTAAGCAAATGAGAATCTCATGGGTTAAAAGCCTCCTCTTTCTTTATGGTTGTTGTTTTAAGAATTACATTAGTTACTTTTTGATATGCATTTATTTTTAATAATGAAGATCAAACGATTCTGAATTCAAATAACTATTCAAGGAATAATTTATAGAGATTTTTTTTTGTCAGAGATCCTAAATGTAGGATGGAATTTCCTGATTGAATTGTTTATTTTTCTTACTTATATTTTTTATGTTTTCCGTCCGGGAATAAATTAAATTCAATATTATTCAATAATTTAAGGGTAGTGTTCAAGATTTATTGTCCCACCATTGATTTAGAATGGAAATTTTATTTTTAAAAGTACCAGATAGTTTTGAATAAATATAGAACAGGTTATTTTTATTCCTGGTTTATAAAACTGATTCGGCAATTTAATTGAATTCTCCAATTTTACATGTGTTTTTTTCTCTTTCTCCATATAAAAATTTGTTTAGTCTGTGCTACTCGTTGATATTATAAAGTAACAGTTTATATTTACAATATATATATATGTATCCAAAAATATTAGTACAACCATAAAGCTGCATAATATAAAATAACTCCTAAAAATCCTGATCATATATATTGACATTAAACCCTATTTAGTTTGCAGTATATGGTATACGATATGAGGAAAATATTGTATATATTTGAAGAGTCCACTTAGGGGTAAAGTCTCATTTTGAGTTTGTTTCCCCCCAGAAAACCTGCCGTTTCCAATATCTATACAAATTTCAAATGTTATTTAAGAACATCTGAAATTGATGAATTTTCACTGTTTACATATGAAACCCAGAGATTTTAAATTATTGAATTCTTACTGTTTTAAAATTCATAGAAAAGTAATATTCATTACTTTATCACACATCATCGACCAGGTATATTGTAGAAATGTGTGACTTCCTTTTTAGATACTGTAAACTTGAATTATTGCTGGCTATCCATAATTGGTGAAATGTGCCTTATGTAGGTACTTCAGAATGACCTCATGTTCTTTTCCAAATTTAGGCATTCATTTCATTTCATTTAGGCAATAATTCTATGTTTTTCAGTGCTATATAATCTACATAAATTATGGCTAATTATTTAGTATAATATTGTACTATAACCTTATTCAGTGCTGGTCATGATTTATATATTTATTTTGCTATCATAGTGCTGAAATATTATATAATGATGATTTGTTTAATGTTATGTGTGATGTACGTATGTATGTATGCATTGTTTATTTTGTAATTAATGTCATGTGGAATCTACCTGCCATACTAAACCATTGTCTTTCAATTCATGCCGCTTCTTTTTAATTTGAATTGATTAGTTTCTTAATTTGACAAAAGTAACGGTACTGGTATATAGAATGATGCTAATCTATGGTGCCTCAAAGTCCATCCTGCGATGCAATTTTACTTGCCAAGAATAATGTTCTTTTATTAGAAGTAAATATGTATTTTCTAATCAAAATTTAAGAACAAAAGCTTTCTGAAAACAGGAAATGACAAGAAAGGTATTCTTGTCTTAAATTCTTTAAAAAAAAAAGAGAAAAAATAAAGATTTTTCAAATCCAAATCAAAACAATACAATAACAAATAATTGTTTACTTGGGCCAAAAAAGATTTATCATTTTTTGTAAAAAAAAAAAAAAAGATGAAATAATATAAATGAAAAAAATCTAAGCCATTGAAGGTAAAAAAGGATTTAAGAAATATTAATGTCTTTTCTATTATAATAATTGATGTACTTGTACTATGTAACTGTTTATATAATACATTCATCATACACATGAATTAAAAACCATAGTTTCATAAACAAATCATTTAAAACCATTATGGATTGATGGTGTTACCAGCATTGCTTAAGGTTCTATTTCATTTTAAACCATAATGGATTAATGGTATCTAGCATTGCTTAAGGTTCAATATCATTTAGCGAATAAATGTGAATGTTTAATTGCTATTTAGTTTTCACTCGTTTTTTATTTGTTGATCTTGTATAATGCTAAGGCAGTATTAATTACTACTAAATAGAGAGTCAGAGAGACATGGGGTTAACATCCACTCAACACAAACTAAAACAGAGAATCCCGTATAAGACAAACTCTTATGATATATAGTGCAGGTATTAGATTGGCTGTTCTACAGGACACCCCGCCTCATGACGTCAAATATGCCAAATTTAAAATGTCAGAGAGTCCGGCTATTATCGCCTAGATTTAAAAAGACATGATTTGTACCTGTGTCAGGTTGGATTATATGATTAATTGTAGTTGAATGTGGCAGAAATGTTATGAATAACAATAGTCAATCGTTGTTTTGATGAAACATGTTGTCAAATTTGCTTACTGAGGCCCAATGTGATACCCCTTGAGCTTTGCCAGATGGACCTATATAGCACCATCTCTTAGCTCGAAACTCGGAGGGTTAAGAGGTGAGGTTTCTTACCTAGGAACTATATACATGTCCGACAATGCAACCCATTTTGTAACTTTGAGAGGTTGTCATACTTGGGGCCAGATTAGGGACCCTTAGAGGCCCTTAGCACTTAAATGATTTGCCCCCATGTACTTAAAAAAATAAATAATAATTAACCATAAAATAAATTGTTGGAAAATAGTGTTATTATTAATTGATACAACGCAGGTAATAGTAAGAAAAGAAAAACAAAAACAGTGAAAACAAGAGCATAGCTAACGCTGCATATACGTCCACATTTCTGCTTTGATTGAAGAGAACCAAATATGAAATGGCTGCAATGACTGTAATAAGACAAGAGGCAAAGAAGGCTAGGCTAGACTAAATATTAACAAAAAAGTGGGTGTAACACTGCCCCAAGTGGTCGTGGCATGCACCAACGGTATAAGGAATGAATATGCAAAGTTCCAAGATGATCCATTCAGAATTGCCGCCTGTAGACGATAAATACAAAAATTGGGCGAGGCTCAGGATATGGAACAATATAAATAAATACCACCCTGTTATTGAAATGATTGATATGCAGAATTTGAACAAAATCTGTTAATTATTGCAACCTGTAGAGTATTTACCAAAAATAAAATAAAAGAGAGAGAGAGAGGTTCGACACAAACTAGGTTATTTCGGGACTAATATGTATGTTTCAATTTTATTTCAACAATTCGCTTTAGCAGTGGGAGGACGCGGAGAAAACCCACAAGGTTGGACAAGCGACCCAACTCTTTGTCACGTACAAAAGGGGAATCGACACCACACCAGCTGACTCATTTGCAAAGCCTATGATACAACGTGCACGCGCTAACCATTCGGCCATCCAACCCCCCATCAGTAGGAGCAGACAGTAAGACATTAAACCCCATTTCAATAGTTGATACTAACTACCTAAAAGATTTGCCGTCTCGTTATAGGCATTCGGATGTCATTTCTCCATTTTCACAATATGTTCCTGTTATCTATTCAAATGTATATAAGAAATGTGTATGTAAGAGCTAAATCTGTCAATTGCGGGTCTTCTTTATTTGGGCTATATTTCAAATGTTATATAAATTATTATTTCGACATTTATTAACATAAGCCTTTAAATCTTCCATTGCTGGTCTTTTTTATTTTGGCTTCAAATGTTATAGGCCTATAAACTATTATTTAAACATTTATTAACATGACAAGCCATTTATCAACTCTTTAGAGCATCGGATGGAAGAGATTTAAATGGATTAGAACGCCTGTGAGATTTTGAAAAAAAATAACGATAAAATGGATAGGGCCTAATCGAGACTTAGTACGGTACCGTTGCTACGATAATAAACAGTCTAGGCTACATCTTCCAACACTCATAACGTCGCTCAGAATGAAATAATTTGAACAGAATTTTCAATATATTCATTTTTCATTATTTTGAATTATTAACGACCAACTCTTTATCTAAATCTTGCATAATGTAATGTATCTTTAAAGAAAGTAACTTGGCTAACTAGACACAGGATTGCAATCTGTTTCACAGAGAATTACGAGTCTAGTGATAAATAAATATTCACTGCGGATCAGTGTGCGGTCTAGCAAATATTCACTGCGAATCAGTGTGACAGGATTGATGCAGGGAATATTGTTGGTAAAATAATACACTTTTCTGTTTTCTATAAAGAAAACCAAATGAACGTTGGTATTTTTTCTTTTATGAATGACGTAGGCCTATGGTTATTGCACGCAAGTAACTATTCAGTTAGATACTGCAGTGACGTAACTGGAAGAGACCTGATTTTAATTTAGAAATGCGACTTCTAGAAGTAGAACGTAGACTTTCAGAAGAAAAAACACTGGCATGCTCTATACTGATCCCTAGTCCTTCGAATGTTCCAAAAACCAAGGTCCCGTGTCGGCGACGTATTATCCCAGTCGGTGCACAAAAGTAGGACGTTAAACCCTATTTCATTTTATACTTTGATTAAAATAACTTAAAGCATTTAAAGGGAGACTACTCCATCCGAAAACAAAAGCACTGAATGCAAAATAATATCCCTGGTCACCAAATTTAAGAGCTACGGTAACAATCTGTTTCACAGAGAATTACGAGTCTAGTGATAAATCTCTGTCAAAGATGACTGCCTTAACACGTGCTGTCACAGCACGCGGCGTCAATCATTGGCTGAATGGCGCGTGCATTGTTTACATAAGACGTTACTGCTTCGGAGAAAATGTTGCATTTTAGTCATTTTAATACCTATTTACACTAAATAGGAAATAATTTTTACCTACAAATACGTCAAACGCCTTTATTTATTTTTCCAATACATAAAAAAAATGTTTTAGAATTTAATTTGTCGCAGGAAAAAAGTTAATATTTCTGGCTCATTAAGCCGCATCGATGTCATCCTTATCAGTGATTGTAGCGGCCTAGCAAATATTCACCGCGGATCAGTGTGCTACGGTAATACTAGCAAAGATTAGCTATCTAAGAGGTTAGTATTCTTAATACAGTAGGCCTATTTATGAGTAAACACTGCGGTTACGAGGTAAAATTTATTCGTGCAACTTGATGTCTGTGTTAATTTTATTGAAAACTTTACACCAAACCTTATTCCCAAATTAAGAAAGTATTTTGTTCAATAATCTTGTTATTATTAAAGCAGAATAATTGTCATAATAACACAACTTTATGGATTTATTACGTTCCCCTAATTTAATATTGTTGCTATGATGACATAACGCCTTGTTTATTAACAGTCTTACAATCTCCAAGTCGGTTTGGAATTATATGTCTATATCGATGCAATTAGAGATATTTTATCGACACGATTCCTTGTTTGATTCTACAGACGAAGTACAAGACTGAGGTCCAATTACTACAAATTATAATATATTGTATTATTTTTTTATATTGAGACAACGTGTTATTTGTATTGGAATTAATATGGTTGTAGTTAGTGGTTGTAGGTTAAATAATCAATTTATGTCTATGCCCAAACAAATATTGTTTAAGATCACGGAAAAACTTGTGGATTTCGCGTGTTTCATAGGCCAATGAACGAATGATATACATGTGACTGGAACAACCAAATCAAACTAATGTAACAACATCTACATAATAAGTAATAAGTTTAAGAGGGGGATATTTCCTTATTTCAAACATTTTTATTGACTCATCTTAAACAGGTAAACACAATATCAATATGCATTGCACATCGTCATAACATCACAACAATATTCATAAAATTTAGGTTACCGGTACAATAATTTACATACCTGTAATTAATTAAGAAATAGATAGATATGGTATATCAAGGTTGTGGACCCTCTAGAGACCACAGTTTTTATCCAATTTGGATGAAACTTTAAATATATGTTTTTATCATTAAGATCTTGGTTCCTTTTGATAATTATTAACATTAGTGTTACTTTGCTCTTATTTTTTGAAAAAATTTTCACAAGTTGATTTCCTTTATTTTGTTAATGTAGTATGGTAACGAACTGCTCTTTTCATTTTCTTTGTTTTATTTGTTTTGTTTGAATTTGATTTATCTGTTTAGTTTTTGATTGTTTAATTTTTGTTAATGAAGTTGATTCTTTTAAACTTCGTTTTTATTTTTGAACTCTACTTGGTGTAGGTGTTCATCAGGTAATACCTCGACTGAGTTCAATATTGAGATTAGCCGGTTGATTTGTTGGATATAAACCTTTGAATAATAGCGCCTAACAGGCAGCTGTGTTTAATTATGTTCTCCTGATTTTGATTGTTTCTGTGTGTTTGAAGTATATGTTTGTGATATGCGCTTAGAAACACTTCACGTGTAATGAAGAGCTATATAAATCGAACAATAATAATCATAATAATAATGCGGGCACCGATTAATGCCAGTGACTTCTTTAAGGGCATATGGCTCAATTCTTTGGAACCTTAAAATAAGAGAAAATAGGTTCCAAAGCACATATGAATGCATATAAAGTGATTTATATAAATTATTGTAATTTCTATTCAAAATTATGTTGTGTGAAAAACGAGAACAGTTTATATTGAACGACCATCGTTTACGCCTGCTTAGTTTATTCTACGCGTGTTTTTTTTTTATTAAAGATACTTTATGGGAGATTCGATAACAAGCTGGCAGTTCTCACTATAATAGTTAAAAACTAGATAATGTAAAGGCACTTTGCTGAAAATTTCATTCAAATTAATCCACTATGAACCGAGAACTAAGCGGTTGAAATTTCCGGCTAGCCTTGATCATCATTACTAAAGTCAGTACGATAAACAGCATAGTCTCGATTATCCATTTAATCGTTAAATCGTGAAGGAAAGTTTTGCAGTAAATCGTCTCATAATCCACTAAAGAAAAACCTGCAATAGACAGATTTAGCTTTTTGCATATGTATGTTTAATAGAGACTTTTGGTAAGCAGAATTTTCCCCATCCGTATCGTATACGTGATGCGTTGCGTCAATATAGTTTTAGAGTTTTGGTAGATTTTCGCGCCGCGTACGTGTGAGTAG